AATGACTGTGTAATGAATATCGACCTCTGAAGTCAGCCAACAATTTAAAAAGTAAATAAAATAAAATAATAAGATAAGATAAAATAAATCCTTTACTGCACTCGGATAAATACACGTAGATTTATATAATAGTATACAGAGTGAAACCGGATATTAGTATAACTATTTGTGCAATAATAATTAAACGTGATGCTATGTAAGTCACAAATAATTGAAAAGGATAATCAAATACAGATTTTTGTGGGTTATATATATGTATGAAGTGAAGATAAAATGAATCTGAGAGGTCAGTTTATTTAAGTGTACCGTGAGATAATTTGTTTTTTAGTTACAGACTTTGGGTGTTTTAGAATAAAATATGTCTAGAACGAATAGAAGAAATGAAAGGAATATCTTACGTGTCGAGGGACCAATAATGATATTAATGACAGTAATAATTATGAATGCGGACATAAAAAGACTTCATATATCATGGTGAGTAAAAGTGAAATAAAATTAGATAGATGACGGGTCTTGTTTGTATAAATCATTATTAAACACATTGATATTCACTAGGTGAAACAATTCACTTTTGAAAAGAAAATCTCCATGCTGCAGATCCCAGTCCTTCAAGCCAGTGAACTACGTCAAAACAGTTTTGAAATCAACTTTCGTGTTCCATAATTTTAGTATCCATAATACTCCAGAGGTTGTCAGTAAGTGATGAAAAAAGTGGTCAAGAAACGAAAAAGGTTGACAATTTGGATTAATCAGACAACCCAAAGTGAATACTAACCGTTTGGTATCTCCCAATTAAACAGTACTGAAATCATTATCTTCAGGTTCAAACTAAAAATTCAATTTTCAACTCTATCAAATGTCTTGGATAAGGCAAGAAGGCCAATGTCACGGAAATTTCATATGTTAACCACAGTCCTCAGGTATACCAGGAAGTCGACAGCCTTGTGTTACTAGGGCCGTCTGAGGAAAAAACTATTTCTGAAACGGTGCAGAGTAGTGGTGCAAATTGAGCCTCGAAGAGATTCACATATAGCCTTTTACATGGTCTCTATAACGATGGCGAGCGAAGACGTTCGTCTGTTATTAAAAGTTTCGACTATGTTATGGTTTTCGTTTTGTGTCCCAGCTATACTCATTTTCTAGTTAATGGGTAGATTACTCTTAACGAATGATCACTCGAAGTAAGTAGCAAATCGAAAGAAAAGTTTTTATTCACGTCTCTTCGAAATTCTTGATGTTGCACAAACCTGCAGATTTTTTTTTTTGAGTGCTTCGGCAACTCTTTGTTATTGCGAGTCTCAAACCTCACAGTCCGATGATCATTGTGGTAAAGAGGATGTATTAGAATGAGAAGAGAAGCATCAGAGATGCCATACTTTAAGGACGAACCAATCAGGTTTGCGATAACAGGCCTTGTGTTTTAGTGCAAAATTCACCCACACATTTGGCTAACTAGCGCACTGGCATTTGAGCTGATGCCATTTAGTGAATAAAAACAGTAAATCTAGTTCTCAACCCTAACAGTCAACTGTTAATCATAATTCTGATTCCGAAAACGGCTTTCTAATCTTCATTTAGCCGTAGTCAACAGGTGGGCATTCCCAGGGTCACCTTAGCGTCGATCATAGGTGATCCTTTCCCACCGACTCATCTAGTTGGGAGTAACCAGATATGACTTTCTAAACTGATAGCTCAGAAAAATGCATGATTCACGATATCTATGACTTGAGAATGTCCACAAAGCACTCCTTACCATTTACTATGCATCATCATACGTTTTGGGTTCATGTTCTAAAGTGCAATATTCTGTGAACACTCGTATAATGCGACAACTCCATCTACACCATCTCTAAGGAGTTGGAAGATATCAACGTGAATGTCACAATCCGTAAAATGATCTATCTGATACGTGTCGCAGATTTCAACTAAAACTTAGGCAACCCCGTTATAGAGGTATCTCATGTTCAAAAGGACCTAGTATTGTTGGTGCCCTACTATCTAAAGTCTTATGTTGACTGCGACGAGATACCTCTCGGGCAAACTTTGGACTGATAACGTTGAAACTCATTTCTAGTCAGTTTGACGCAGAACTTTCCACTTAGTCTAAAACAGTTTTACTCGGCCAAATTTAGAGCAGGAAAATAGTGTTTCCTTCCTCACTCTAAAAGGATAAAACACACTAGGACGTAGCGGACAGCGAGCCACGAAATTAGTTTAAGGATTCAAATTCAAATGCTTCAAACCACAGAATCTTTACAGTGTTAGAGTACAGGTGTCTCAGTGGTGACCTAATAATTTATAGCATTCCAAAAAACTACTTGGCATCACCCTTAAACACCTTCTTCAGCTCAGTCTTCACAAAACTTAGGGTGACACAGAAATTAGCGGCACAACATAGCATAGTGAACTATAGGCACACCATCTACTCCTTAAGAGTGGAACTGTCGAATTATAGTCTTCCATGGTATTAATGGATTTATCATTATGTAACTGCCATAATCTATAAGATCTTACATGGAAGTTACATCATCGTCTACACCAACTTGTTGCATCGTAACAATCACCAATACATGATGGAGAACAAGGATAGGCTAGAGATAGAACAATATATTTAATATGAAGCAAAGATATAAGATAAGACGCCTCATTAACTCTATTCATTCTTCCCGCATTCTCTCCGTTGGGTTTTTCTCCGCGTTAAATATTGAATATCTATTTTCCGAGTAGTCTCGTGTTCAGCTTTGAGGATTGTGTGGTTAGGGTGCAATTCCAATACAGAATTCGCTGCCGTCTGAGCAAGTTCAACTTACATCCCAGGAGTCCTTTAAGAGAAAATACGACATAACCTTAGGGAATAAGGACAGCGTCCCACTAGCATTTACCAACATTTCATTATTTTTCTTTTATCGTTGACATACCTAGGTTCCTACCTGGAGGCATCGGTTATCCACTGCTACTAGATACGGAATCTCGTTAAATCAAAGTTTTTTTCGTCCATTAATAGTGAAACTAATCGTGGAGTGACATATTATCACTTTAGGTATCTGCGGAACTGAGGTAAATATTGAGCCTCGTTTTGAACGACATTTAGGAGAGTGAAGTTACCACTGGATCAATTGATGAGTTTTACAGTTTAGTGATATATATCAAGAAAATGTTTACATGCATTTTTTTGAGAGGTCGTTAGTGTTCCAACTTAAACAGATGTCCTTTTAGATGTGATTTGGTGCTAAAGTGGATTGGTGATCTGTCAGCGGGAATATTATTATAGGCTATGTAATACAAAAAGACCACATCCCCATAATTTCACCTCACTACACAGGGTAATGGTTACGAGTTTCCAAATGGCCTGATTGGGAATAATTTTGTAGTACGAGTACTTTCTAGTTGCCTTGCTATTACTAACTTTCAAAAGCGTAAGGTGACATCGAGCAGGATTTTTTAACTGAGAGCCTTGGTATTTGTTGACAGGATCTCTAAACGATTTTGGGGTTCCCAAGGTCGAAGGTTTTTTGTTGGCTGCAGTAAGCCAGGAAAAATGGAAACCCTAATTGTAACATATAGTTATTCCCAGGTAACTTTCTGTTGAGGAGAGGGTGCTGCTGGAATATTCTACAAATTATGGGGTGGATAGAGCATCAGTGAGGTCCACCATAATGCTTCTGCATTTACTGACCATGAGGTGCAGACTCATCATCCGTTATCTAGAAGGCAGGTTTCAGTTTCAGTTTGGAGAGGACAGGAGGCTTAATGGCCTGTGTTAGTCCTGGCAATGGTAGTCTCTCAGCTGATCCAACTTTCTTTTGAAGGTGTAGACGGATGGAGCCTCAACCACGTACTGAGGTAATCAATTCCACCCGTTGATGATTCGATGAGAAAGTCGATGTTCAGCTGACAATTAATTTGTCAAAAACGTTTTAGCGTCGACATGAGTAAAAGCCTTATGTATTGACTATAAAGTTCTAAAACCTTGTTTTCAAGAATAATCTTACGTAAATTGTTGATTTAATCGCTTCAGAACGAAAAGTGGTGGAAATTGAAACAGTATCTCTTCAAGTTAACAAATACCGGTTAGTGAAGGTTAAAATATGGCGGTATCTACAAAGTCTAGCGTTGAAGTCGCTCCCAGTTTAGAAGGAAGCTTGTGCTTATATTGAGTTTATGTTCCTTCGAGGTATAATAATGATTTCAAGTACCTTTTCTGTTTAGTACGTTTACATGTTCTTAACTGTCAAATTGTTTGACTCGACTAGGAATTATATCATTGTTTCTCCCTATTTCACATATATTTATTCCGATTTTCAACCCCGCTATTTTTTTCGGACTGCAAGCTAATTATCGTACAAGCTATATATTGGTAGATCAGTCGTTGCAAACTCTGTTTTACGATACTTTCCGCTGATGGTGGAAATTTCATATCATGAACAGAATCTCCCTATTTTGGGGTAATGTTTGACGGGTTTAGATAAATTTTGGGGAAACAGCTATAGAAAACTTTGGGAAAATGCCTAAAGACCTCAAGAATTTCTATAGATCTGATGAAAATCCCCAAGATCTTGGTAATGTTCTCAATACGTCTACGGAATCTTATAACTCTGGTTTTTTTCTTCATACCTTCCATAAACTTTGGGCAAAACTATCATATTTCTCACGAAGATGGTTAAAACCCCGACATTCCCCAAAGTGGTGCTACGTGTGCTTGGTTCTTAATTGGATATTTCCTTTGATCATTAATTCATACTTGAAATTTTGTGACCAAAAAAGAGTTAACACATTATTATTGTCCACTCATTTACCTGTCTTTTTTTCTATGGCTCATCCTTTTCAGGATTTTGAAATGATTTTACGTTTCAATTTTACCAGTTTAGTAATAGTTTTGTTTTTCTGACGTAAATTCTCCCTGCAGGTATTAAAAGCAAATGTATTCTGTTTAATTCAATCCCATTACCCACCTGCTATGTCTAAACGTTTTAAGAAGGAGAAAATTGTAGAGTATACTGGTCACACTGAACATTACAGGCTTCCGGATCCCCTTTATGCTAATAGATATCGTAATCAATTCTCACCAGATCAATGTAACTTCGCAAGGAATGATAATAACGTTGATGAAACACATCTCTTTGTGCCACCTTGTTTACATTTGCCCCATCTTATGTTTCACACATGAATAATCCTGATTTCAACATCAGTAATAATAATAATAATACTAACAAACATGGATCTCAGGGTGTTGTAGAGAAAGTAATGCTTCGTCTCGTTAAGTATTTTGAGAAGCCACAGAACAATGCACCACATGAACACACCAATTGTAATTACCTACACAGTGATTCAACACTTGAAGAACGTCCACTTATTTCTGATCATGATGAGTATGGTGGTGATCATGTTTATTCCACTGCAGCAACAGCAGCAGGTGCATCAACATCATCACCAACTACAGAAGACGGTGCGGATTCAACAGCTTCTACTTTTATTAATCCAACCGAAGTAGAAAGTTGGATGCGTCGTCGATTGTATTATCATTTTATGACACCTATTGGTAAATTTCATGCTAAACGACGTATTCCATTCAAACTGTTCGTTCAGATTCTCAAGGTGTTATTAGTTACAATCCAGGTAAATCTTTTCATGTGGTTCGTTGAAGTCTAGTCATCTTTGTTTTGTATCTTTTGTGTATATGACAAGTTCCTTAACTGTAAATTTCAGAATCCTCCACGCGTAATCTTATTCATTTATTGTTCACGTTAGATAGTATTAAGGTCTGTAGTGTTGATTTTGTTCATGAAAAGCTATATTATGATATCACAGGGTTAAAAATCCATATTCCTTTTTTGGTCATACTGATAGACAGGTCAGGTCTATGATATATGGTAGCACAAGCCGAGGCACATTCTTACTAGAGCCTGTGTTAATGATATCTGACTGTTACTTCGGACTGATGATGTTTCCAACCAACTCCTTATGGTCACATGATTTGTATAGACAAGTAGACAAATGTACGAATAATCATAATCATGTGTTATATATTCCTGAGTCAATCAGTCAGTTAGTCTATGAGATGAACCGTTTTCATACGTGATATTCCGTCTCAAAAAATCATGTTTGGTTCAACTAGCTAACTTTTAAGTATTTTTATTTCCGTCATAGATTGGTGATATAAATTATGGCACGTCTAAACGCCAAAAAGTACTAAACGCCTGTTTCGTCATTACTTGAGACTACAGAAGCATGCATGCACGACTCCTACTGTAAACTGTACTCAGAACTGTTAATGTAGATATCAATTTAGTGACGGATACAAAGTCCGGTGATACTTTTCCCTAACAGTTTCTTTAGCTTAATTCTTGTGGTTTTTTTTACTGAACTCTTCATTTTCCCTGCCGACATGCTGTCTTTCGATGCGGTAAATTGAATCGACAGAGAGTTGTGCTAGACTCTACGTTTATAATCATATCATTTTATCGTTATCCTTATCGTATCATTGGCTTAGTGGTTAATTTACTCGTTCAATCAATAAGTCAAAAATTCACACTTTACTTTTAGTAATTAGACTAGAACAGTTAAATAGTATCACTAACCCTAAAATACAAGGTATTTTTAAAATTTGGATATACAAATCCGTGCTTCGTATACGAGTCGCATGTACAATTTGGTCAGAAGGAGAGCCTATACACTCATTAGTGGTACTGACTAATGTTGCGATTTGTCCTGGTTTTAATGTTTAAATGTGTCTGAAGTTGTTTAGCACGTTCTTTAGTCTTCCATCGGTGATACACCATCATTTTAATATAGTTTATTTTTATTAGTATGAGGGGTTTATGGAGATGGCCGAATTTTTTTGTTTACATAGCAGACTGATTTTAGTTGAACAGCAATTGAGAACCAAGAGAAACTGGACAACCGTTTCATCCTAGTGTCGAACTCGTCAGCAGTCCTCATCCATGAATCCATAGGAAATCGAACACAAAGACCTTTCAGACCTCGTGTCGCACTCTTGGCCTGTAAACCACTGAGCTGCTATTCAGTGGTTTATAGTTTCTAACTTTAATCAGCTCACGATATTTGAGTTTACTTTCTCTTCGTTTCTTTTGATTCCCCCGCCCCCAAAACCCAGTTAATTGAATTTGGATTTTATCGGGCAGCTCATGTATCTTTTGGTGATGTATCACATAAAGCATTTTGTCATCTATACTTACGTCAATGGGATTCACAATATGAAACATTAGATTATCCACCAGCAACTGGTGATTATGCTGTATACACAATAAATGATTTTTATGAACACGTTGGTTATACTATCACCCAGGTAATAAACAGATTTAATTTTATTTCCTTACATTCATTTTCTTAAAAAAAGGTTCATGATAAAAAATTTAGACTTCAGTTGTTGGTGTCCGTAACTAAAAAACAAATTAACGTAAATCGATATATGAGCCGTTAAAGATTCCCGTTGTAAGAACTAAAACAACACATAAGCGAGCAATATTGTTTTCAATTAGATCCACATCAGGCTTTACTCTAATGTTTATATTTATATGAAAACTTTTTAAACCAATCAAAGCAGTTTATGAGTCTATGATCACAATGAAATAGATTATATAAATACACACAATAGGTAGAAAGCACGAATTAATAGTAAGAATTTCATTAAAACTATGAACTAATCTAAATTAGACCATCATTAAAAATCTGGAAGTGTTGAATAAGAATTGTTTTAGTAAGGGACTCAGCAGTGCGCATCCAGACTGGTGTACTATTGTTGATAAGAATAATAAAATAATGAAAGTTCTAGTCAATAGTCCAACATTGAAAATAGGTCAAACTTGGATAAATGAACTTTTAAACAATAATCACAAATCACAATTGAAATTGTTCTGTAAGAAATGTGTAAATAATTAGATATTGAAGAATCTAAACTGAAAGAGTAACAACTGACAAACAAATACGGGATTTGAAAAATTGATAAAGCCGTTTGCTAAGTCATATCCAGTCAAGGCGGGTACAGGGGTGTCACGAATTTCTTCCGGACACAAACTAGGGTTTTCGGTTTGTATCCCTATAGCTTCTGCTGTATGACTACTTAATCAAATGCCATAATAATTGAAAAAATCAACTCGACAACTAAACGTAACTGGATAAGTAAAATTAAATTTAAAAAACTGTTATTACGGGAGTTGTTTGCAGAGGTTGTTGAATTTGAAGTTTCAACTCAAAAGACTGACACCTTTTTAGGCATGTATAGAAAGCTAGGAAGCACAAGTGGACACTTGTTTCGTCCCTGTATATGGCTAAACAATGAGCATCCGCGACCCCACCAGAGATCGAATCTGAACCGTTTTATTTGTATTATTCTGTTTTGTTATACTTTTTCTTTGTTTTTCGTCTTAATCGTTTCATTCACTTTCGGTACAGTTCAATAAAACAAAAGAATTGGCCATTGGTGGTTATATGTTTGATTCATTGAATCCAACGATGAAATTATGTATGAGATATGTATCTCCTACTACAGATGAGGATAAACATCCTATGCTCAGTGTATCATATATACGTGAATCAGAAAGTGAGTTTGTTATCGTCGTAATCGCATTCACTTATTTTCTTTCATTTACTTCCAGTCCTTGCTAATAGTATATGTACGACGTCAATATAAATGTTTTGTGTTAGTGCATTTAGTTTCCAAACTGTATAGCTGAGTTTGTACATATTAGATACAATAGAGTCCCGAAATCTACTCACCACTACTTAGTTCTCTTCATTGTTACTCTTTATGATCTTTTTGAGAGATAAGCTATTATTATCTGGGGTGCTGAACTGGAAATAACTATTTGCATACTCAGATTATGGTTAACAGTGGAATCAGTGGCATTTATTTTATCTTATTATGGATTTGTCAGCTAAAATATATCCAGATCTTGTTGAGTTACTTAGCTTAAATTGCTATGTTATAGCCCAACACAAAGTATTAAGTAAAGTGTTTACAAGATGTAATCCAATTACTCTTTAGTAGTAATGGTTATATCATCCTTTGCTAATAACTCTTGAGAAGATAAATGAAAAGATTTAATTGAATAACTCAAAATATAGACAAGAAAACACAGAGTAATATAAATTTGTTTTTTTTTCACACGTTCTTATCAAATGCCTACAACCATATATATATAACATGATAAACTAATGCTTATGTTTGGATTGACGAATGATCAGTGTCTTTATTGTGTACTAACACAGAAAGTGGCGTATGTTCGTCTAGTGGAACTGATCGATTCATAAGAAGTTAGTTTTATAAGTTTACGCTTGTCAGATGGCAAAGGACATATTCGGACCACTTGACTAGCTATACTTTATCTAATCAATGTCTAGATACATTCTTAAGACCTTTCTCGTCGACTAACGGTTGTCATGTTTGAATAACTTAGTGTCTATAATATCTTGCTTTCAATTCATTCAAAATAAGGTGATGTTTATTGGTAGACTAAAGACAAATTAGGAAGAACATAACAACGGCATTATAGATTTTTGAATAAGTATCATCTTATTTTGTAACATATCACAAAACTTCAATATCCGTAGTTTTGAGCTCACTTACTGAGTTACAGTTGATCATGGGTACATTTAACAGAACAATATATTGTTGGTCTACATAAGTGGATACACCGACAAGTTTATAAAGCCTGTCTGTTATTTAGACATCAATAAAATTGCCATATATGATTTGCTTTATTAACAATGGAAAAAATTGTCATGTTCCTCAGAACCTATTCGAACAAAGGATACAAAACGCTATTCCCAACGATTAAAGTTGATAAAAACTGATTCAAATAAACTAAACAACACTGTACATCAACGTAAAAGATGATAAATTGTCAATTAATAAACGTGTTATGAGTGAGAAGATGAACAAAAACAATTTTACCAAGACCTTGGGATAATGTTTGATTAAAAATCCTATCAGGAAAAAGAGGCTCAGGAATTATGAATTAACTTGATAGCTCTAAAACAGAAAGTTTGAACAAGTATAAAAACTTTTGACGCAACGATGCACATCAGAAATCAGACTTAGCGACCCAAGTACTCAGATTTGAGTTATGCTGCGTTGAAGGCTAGTGATAAAACTCTGTATACTATATATATAGGCTCATTATTCTACTGAATATCAACATAAATATATCCCCTTACTAATTATAATTATGACAATATTTTATAAGTCAATACCTATAAAGAATGATTTGTTAACTGGGACGAAATAGTCACAAACTAGTTTGTTGTACTTTATAATGATGTGCAATAAACTAAATAATAATGAGATTGCAATTCTTTAGTGTGACCACTGCATCTCTGTGCTAATGTGGTATGGCAACTCGAACTGATGTACGTACGTACGAAGTTCTACGTTGTTTGACTGACTGACTGAATTCTTTAGTGTTTTGATACAGTCAAACACAATTTTAATTATTACTATATTGAAATGTAATGAAAATAATAATAATAATTATTTCTTTATTATTTCAACACATAAATATCGGTACAAGAGGGCACCAAATATATATGCGCCACACCATATTTGTGTGTGTGGGCTGTGATACTGCCCGGGTGCCCAGACCGTAGCAGGTGGTTTTCTTAGCGGGCCACTCCCCGAGCCTTTGACCTAAAGGTCTGATCCACAAGGCAGTGGAACATCATGAGGAGATGCATACCCATGGTAGCCGGTGACCAGCGATTTGTTCATACGCCATTTGTTCCCGCAGGATACTTAAGCCAGCCCATGTGCACCATTGGTTCGGATCCGGTTGAAGAGCCGGACATTCGCTTTTCGTCTCTCATTTTCGTAAACAACACTCCCGCCACGAGAAGGCAATGAGTAGGACTTCCCTGGCAGAGGCTGTATACGCGTGGCCGTGTGAGAGCATTTCGAGAGGGAGGGCGAACCCACCCCACTCTCGGCCATACCAGGGCATTATGAATTAATGATACTTGGGAAACTAATTATTTTAGTGAAGAGACGAAAGAGAAAAACACTTATCTTTTGAGTCTCAATATTATAATGATTCCTACCACTACCACTACTGCTACTACTACCACTGTAATGAACAAAAACACCAATGCGGACAATCGAATGTGTTTAACACAGCATTACAGGACTTATTAATAAAATCTAACAATCAAATAGTAAGCAGGTAATTTGTAAAATGTCCATCAATTGTCTCAAAATGATTCAGACTTTATTGTTCTTGTATTTTTATACAAATGACATTCTGTTTCCATTCTTCACTGTTCGATTATCTTGTCTCTTTGCTGTCAGACATTCTGTTCCTGACTAACATCATATACTACTTATGTCAATATAAGTAGCACACACCACTACTACTACTACTGACTACTGTTATCCAATGAATAAAATCAGTTGTTTAGAAAATAATAAATAAACTAAGAAATAAGTAGTACGAACATATGTTCAATTGTTTTTATTTTTCTATATTCATAGAAGACTTTGATACATTGAGTTTTCTATATTATTGTTGTTATTAATAATATTGGTAAATATCACTTCAATGTTAATGAGATTATTAAACATTCATTTAAGTGTTTACATTTTTAGCTTGTACAGTTCAATAGGCGTTAAATTTGTACATTATTATTATTTTATTATTTATTTGAACACATAAACATTGATACAAGAAGTCAGCAAATGGATATGCACCACATAAATCATTCAATACACATGAGGGATAAGATTATTGTCAGAGTGCCCAAACCGAAGCAGGTGGTTTTCTTAGGGGGCAATTCCTCAAGTCTTCGACCTAAAGGTCTGATCCACAAGACAGTGGAGTAACGTAAAGAGATGCAGTTTCATGATAGCTAGTGACCAATAGGTTCATATGCAATTTGTTCGCTTATGATCCTGGAGTTCATGTGCACCATTTGTTTGGGATTGTGGTTTTCCAACTTTCCTAGATGGATCCTCCATATCCACCAACCCGGTTAAGTCGCCGGATATTGACCTTTCGTTCTCTCGATTTCGTAAATAACATTAATGCCTCAAGCAGGTAGTGAGTAGGACTTCGTTGGCAGTTGTTGTATGCATGTGGCCATGTGAGAGTATTTGGAAATGAAGAGGTGACTCTTCCCACTCTCGGACGTGTACATATACACAAACGTGTACACTTTATCAAAAGATTAAAGACTCTCCGTGCCCACTAACCAGGTTAAAGCGCCGGACATACGCTTCTCGTCCTCTCGATTTTTTAAACAACACCCGCGCCATGAGAAGGCATTCAATAGGGCAACTCAATATATATATATATATATATATATATATATATATATATTATCTACCATTATTATCGTTTACTTTTTATTGAATGCATATACTACTCATTGCTTAATTCAAAAAATATTAAACTTACTAAATAAACACATTGATTTATTTATTTATCTATTAAATAGAATGTACATCTATTGAAGTGAATAAAATCAATTCTGAACAATTAGCTAATGAAAATTTAATAAAAACATTTTTACAGGATCATCAATTGGATATTGATTTTAATTAGTAAGTTATTCATTCATTCGTTCGTTTGTTACGAATACCCCTTAGTCATTTTAAAATTTATGATAATTTTACTATGTTTGTATGCCCAGTCACCGACTGCCCCAACGAGCGATCTTTTATGGTATATGAGTAGGTTGGAGAAAATCTAGGGACAGCCAGACCAAAACATGACACAAATCCATGAAGTCACTTACAAGTGGACTGTGTCATGTTGGTGGGTGTAGATTACCTGGTTGGGATCCGCGAGATGATAGAAACCGATTGTTAGAGACCTTGAATGACATGGCCCAAAATCGTTTACAATGTTGCAGGTGCATCCACTCTTTATGTTCTCTGAAATTCTAATCTTCTGAATTCTTCATGTCCTTTTCTTTTTTCTCTTCGCAAATTTATTTCACTGGATTATACTCCTTGAATAACATGTTCAAACAGTAAAGTTTCCGATTACTGTTTATACTTTTACTATCTCTACCACTATGAGATTTAAATTGACAACTGCATCTTTGTGCTAATGTGATATGACAACTTGAACTGATGTACGTACGTACGAAATTCTACGTTGTTACTAACTAACACGTTCAACCACTAAATCGAAGCACTGGTTCAGTGGTTAAGGTATTCAATTTTCAACTAATAAGTTGGTAGACTTAAGCCCCACTCTACTGACTTCAGTTTAGGAAAACTGATTGGATCACAATTTTTTCATACTTGGAGTGTGGTTCAAACCCAATTACAGGAATCTGTACACCTGATAAATGTGATAACAATAATCATCAAGTTGTAAGTTCGAAACACAACTTCCATGCTTAAAGAAGAAGAAAAAATTGAACCAACATAGTATTAGTAGTTATTTTTGTGAAGATAAGAGAATTTATCTCGAAATTCCCTTCCTTTGAAGCTATCTATTCATGGTTTAGTTATATTACATCTATGTGTATATCAAATGATTGTTAGGAATCTGAATTTATAAACAGTTTGAACTGTATTATACTGTACATAAGTTGGCATATTTTTAATGAATGTGTTGAACGATCTTTTAAATTACTACAAGTTTATCAATATTATCTGTAAGGTTTCAAGTGATGTAGAATAATTCCATTCGGTAATTGTCATTTCAATATTTAACCCAAAAGTTCATTACACAAGACAATGACAAAGTAGTTTTTACTCTCATAGTAGCCGATTACCGAAACTGTAACCTTCAATCATTTATTTTTCAATGTGAAACTACTTCTAAACCAGTTTTTCAACTGATTTGCGCACAGACATTTTTATTCCATTTATTTAGTGTATGAACCTAGATAACCATTTCCATGCTCACTGACATCTTGTAAGTAATCCTACTTTCCGATGATGTGTCTATACTGATAAATGGTAACCAGTTAGCCATACTAATGTGCAGTATTATTGTTATTGTATGGGGCAGGGTTCTACATACGTTACCTCAAAGAAATATCACGCTGAACACACCCTATTGACGTTTGAACTGGATGTGTTACAAGTATGATTATGATCAGTTTTTTTCTTTTTAAATATGAAAGAGTGTTGTCTTCTCAACTCTTCAATATGGATACAATAAGCTCTCTTACAATTTCTAAATCCATTATAACTTATGGCCTGTGTGCCCTGCTAATGTATAACGTAATCATCATACCGCCAATTAGAAAGCAGTGACTTATCGATCGGACCAGTGACGCGTAAACCTATATGAGCAATCTAGAGTACTTATTAGTCCTGCTTCCTGCCTAGCCCAGCCAGTTGAGTCCAGAACACCAATCTCAGCCTCTGCAGTAATAATAGTTTATAGGTCAAAATAAAGCTCATAATAAGAGGGAAACGAATCAGTCAGTCAGTCAGCCACAACGTAGGACCAGGCACATATATGCATCGGTCCAAGTTGCCATACCTCATTAACACAACAAGATGGACACCGGATTCATATAAGTGGTTAATTCAGAGGTGGTAATATATAAAAGAAGGATTGCATATAGAGATATAATACAAGAAGAAAGAATTAGTTCGTAGAAAGAAAGATATGAAGCGATTTTAATCTCTTAGTTTAAGGGAAGACAGAGAGTGTATACACCGACGCCATTGTGATCGATTCTGAGCCATGTCACCAAGAGTCTCCAACCATTGGTTACGATAGTCACGCGGACCCAACCAAGTAGTCTGCATCTACCAACATGGCTCAGACTAGAAGTTAGTGACTTCAAGCACTGATGCCACGTTTTGGTTTGGCCGCCCCTAACCTTCTTCCAACCATCTCCAACACCGGTTAGCATTGCGCGTCGTGGTAATTGGTGTTCGGGCATACGTAACACGTGGCCCAACCATCTCAGTCGATGAAGATTAACAAACTCGTCAACTGATTTACCATCATTTCCTAATACCCTATGTCTAACCTCACTATTACTTACCCGGTGATCCCAGCAGACGCCAGCAATATTTCTAAGGCATCTGTGGTCAAATACTAATAGCTTACGAGTGTCTTCTACTCTTAATGGCCATGTTTCGGTGCCGTAAATTAAAACAGAACGGACTGCCGCGCAGTATACTCGTCCTTTTATTGATAGACGGATATCTCGCCTTCGCCAAAGGCGACGTAAGTTGGCAAAAGCCAAACGAGCTTTTCGAATCCGTGCAGAGATTTCGTCAGACACCAACCCATTAGGGCTGATCAGACTTCCAAGATAAGTGAAATTGTCAACGCGTTCGACTACTTCACTCCCTATCCTTAGTTCAGGTGTCAACGCAGACCAGTCCTGAAGCAACAACTTGCATTTAGAGGGAATAGTTTAGTTATTTAACAATTATACGATAAAAATATACGCATAGTATCGGTCTATAAATGGATCTTAAAAGTTACCATTCATTATGCTTATCGGGGCATAACAAAGACACTCCATTTATATCTCCTAACCGTTATCTAAATATATCATAAAAAACTAATATACTTCAAGGTACTCTGTTACATGATATTTTACACATTTAAAACAGTTTTGAAGTGCATAAAACAGTCATTTATCTGTCTAAGGCATCATCCGTGTCCTATCGAATCAATGAACTAAGAATATTGTAAGTCGATCTAATTAATGGTGCAGTATACTTAATACATACTTATGACTACGTCTATCAGAATAAATTCCCTGCCCCAAATGCCCTGGTACGGCCGAGAGTGGGGAGAGCTCGCTCTCCTCGAAATGCTCTCACATGGCCACGCGTATATAGCTTCTGCCACGGAAGTCCTACTCACTGACTTCTCGCAACACCGGTGTCGTTTACGGAAATGAGAGAACGAAAATCGAATGTCCAGCGCTTTAACCGGGTTAGCGGACATGGATAGTCCACTTAGGGGAGTTGGAAAACCCTGATTCCAAACCAGTAGTACATGTGGACTCCCGGATCCTGAAGGAACAAACGGCGTATGAACCAATCGTTGGTCACCGGCTACCATGGGACTGCATCTCCTTACACTGCTCCATTGCATTGTGGATCAGACCTTCATGTCGAGGGCTCCAGGTGTGGTCCCTAAGAACACCACTTGCTTCGGTTTGGGCGCCCGGGTAGTATCACAGCCCTCACACATATCGAATGAGATTTGTGTGGCGCATATGTATTTTGTGCCTCCTTGTACCAATATCTATGTGCTAAAATAAATAAATAAATTTGTAAGCTGAATTACTAGGTCGCATGTACTCTTATTTCCAAATTAAGTTTTGTTTAGAGCTAAACCATGTCACAGAAAAGCTTAACAGTAATAGAAACACGAAACCAATTCGTAAGGTTACTGAATTTTAGTTGTTCTAAATTGTGTCATTTAATTTAAATTTTCTTGGTAAAGTCTCCTAAATGTTATAAAAGGATACATGAAATGTATAGAGATCCATCCACCTTTTTTGTCTTGTAAATTTCTAATATTCCATCACTCGATACCTTTTCTTTGAGTGAACAAATGCGGTATTTGTAACCATTATAAATGTATTTAACTGTCTCTGTGTGTGTATGTGTGTGTGTATCTATATCGGTATGGCGATTTGAGGGATTGTACTATTTTCACAGTTGAATTCATTAATTGATCTTAGCTCGGTGGTTTAGAGGTTGAGCGTTCACTTGCGAAACCGAAGTTCCTGGGTCCAATTCCCGCGTGTGGGGTCGTGGATGCGCACTGCTGAGGAGTACCATACTAGTGTTTCCAGATTTTAAATGGTAGTATAGCTTAGATTGACTCGTGAATTCAACTGTGAATATATATACGGCTTTAGTTTCGAATATTACTTCAATATTAATTTAAGTATCAGAAAAATACTTTTTTTACCTAATGGATTATCACATTAGAATTAAACCATAATACACGTGTTCATTCAATAATCGAATCTAAACTTTCATATATTCAAGGTGTTATTCTGCATAGAAATTAAATTCGATTTTCTTTATCACATGCAGAAATTGATTTGTACTGATAAGGGAATAGAAAAAAAAAGTGTAACACTTTATTTTTGATCATCATTCGATAAATTTACTGATCGATTTCACTGAATTATGTTATAAGATGTAGATTTTTGTTGTTTGTTGAGTCCCTACAACAAGCATAGTTAATAACCATGTCACAAAAATACGTCGTGTAGTTGAACGTGTTAGATACCGACTTCCTAATCACTTTGTAGTTTCAAGAAATCTACTGTTGAATGCCGAAGAGAAAACGAAGGCGAAAATTATGAAAAAACATCATCTGGTAGATTTATTCATGTACAAAAAAAGTGTAACTGCAGAACTATCTATAGCCCGAAATTCAAGAAGCTTTTGGGAATTACATTTAAATTGATAATAAGATTCATAATTGTCCTATCAGAATAATAACGGCATATTCAGTGCTTTCTCAGAATTATCTTCAAAGTTTTTTAAAGAACGCGAATTGGTTGAAGTATTTGCAACATGTTTTCTGGGTCTTTTAAGGAATTATTGAAAGTTCTCATAGCAGAAATACATTCATCCATTATCTTCCTCCGAATCAGTTCATTTCTTCTAAACTATGTTTCCTTTATCCCGTATCTGACTACTCTTTTACTTCATCTTTTGAGTTAACTTTTGTTTTGTACTGATTATACTGCTCAGGAGTTTAGATCAGTTTACACTTTTTTTCTGTGCTGTTAGCTGACCAAATACTTGTTATTTTAGGTCATATCATGCTAGGCAGATCGGTTGGACTCAGTGGTAAGACCGTAAGTAGCAACTTTAGGTCCGAAAGCAAAGTTGTACTACGGACTGTACACAGATTTGATGGCAGTGGATTGTTTCCATCAACCTATATATGCACGGTTCTGCCTTCAGATAATTGGGAGGAGGTTTTTGGATTAAATCTACCCAAAAATGTAACACCTCACCTCACTCATCTTCGGCCTCAGGTCTTTTCGAAAGTACAATGCTAAAACATGTAGAACCATTTGAAAAATTGAGACTAGTCCTAAATCATTTAATTCTTGGACACTGCAACTACTCTCCCACATAGTAACGATCACCCATAATCCAATTTCTCTTCCAGGTACTTCAAGAAGAATTGTCCTTCAATCGTATGTAGACCGAACATATGCTTAACTTGCATTTACCTTTATAAGGGCTATGGCTTTTAGTGGTTGAATCACTTAAGTATATGGTTGGTAAATAAGGTTCATGATGTTGTACCAATATATATATATATATCAAATGAGTCGAAATATTTATCATGACAAGGATAGTGCGAAAGATTAAGCATTAGGATTATAATTGGAAAAGATAAAAGACAATGATATGTATGAAGGAATAATGAAAGTTAATTCAAAAATATGCCACTTGATGTCTAATATTCCATGATTATTCAGTGTTAGAACTCTTATTTTTAATATATATTTATTGAGATTAATTTTGTGAATCAACTCTATGTTTTGTATTGAATGTCGGGGTTTTGACCTGATATGAACATTAGTGTGAATATTGAAAAAGAGAATAAATATTCGATTTTATCTAATTATTAATGCCTATCTATCTTTGTATGGACATATATATATATATACAAAGCTTAACTGTTGAATTTTAAGAAATATCAATGTAATCAACATGTTTCCTTATCTACTGAATATCAGTCCATAAAATCATTTATATAGTACAGATTAGTGTATTTGGCCTCGAACCACACATTAAGTGTAGGGTTTTATCATATTCTTCAACAGTCTAAGTGACTGAAAGTCGAACACTGTAACCATTGAGTTACCTCTTAAACCTATTCTGATTACGATATATTATGGGACTGGACCTCCTATCTTATCGATAATAGTTTTGAGAGTAATCTTTATTAGTTTCATTTATCTCAGTTTGGAACACTGAGAAAATCAGTATTTACGTTCGAACCTTGTGACATGTTTTATCAGAAAGTGTTGATTATAAACTCATGAATTATCTTAAGCAGAAATGGGTGGTGGCTAGCAGTGGAATCCAGGGCACATGTTTCATCCTATTTAGGATCCTTCAGTTGGATATACCTGCATCTCATAGTTGATATTCGCTCTGCGACTTAAACCGGGAAGCTTTTGCTTCAAACAACATCGCGTTATCTGCCTAGCTACTAATTTCAGATAACCTTTTGTTTATGCATATATATATATATATATATATATATATATATATAAATTACAACCAAAAACTATTTTTTTGAGCGCCATATGTCTTCTAGTTTTTTTCCATGTTCCTTGAGAAATTTCTAAATAATCTATTTTCTTTCTCATTTACACACTATCGTCGTCCAATCAACTGTGGGTTACCTTTACCCTTCAATTCTACTCACGGAATTCCAGTTTACTTGGATTTGATATTTATTTCAATCTGTTATCTCCACCAATTTATCAGTTGGATTGGACACAAAGCACTGAATGTTATCGTTTTATGATTAAGGTATGATAGACAATTGTTTTCTTATTTATTTATTTGAACACATAAAGATTGATAAATGGAGGCACCTAATGAATATGCACCACATAAATCATTCAATACATATGAGGGATAAGATTATTGTCAGAGTGCCCAAACCGAAGCAGGTGGTTTTCTTAGGGGGCCACTCCTCAAGCCTTCGACCTAAAGGTCTGATCCACAAGACAGTGGAGTAACGTAAAGAGATGCAGTCTCATGGTAGCTAGTGACCAATAGGTTCATATGCAATTTGTTCGTTTATGATCCTGGAGTTCATGTGCATCATTTGTTTGGGATTGTGGTTTTCCAACTTTCCTAGATGGATCCTCCATATCCACCAACCCGGTTAAGTCGCCGGATATTGACTTTTCGTTCTCTCGATTTCGTAAATAACATTAATGCCTCAATCAGGTAGTGAGTAGGACTTCGTTGGCAGTTGTTGTATGCACGTGGCCATGTGAGAGCGAACTCTCCCCACCCTCGGCCGTACCAGGGTGGGTGCCCTAATTTGTTTTCTACACCCCACTGTTAATGTTCTATTTTAGAATGCATTTAATTATTAAGCTTTGATGTGTTTTTAACGTTTACACAATTTTTTTTCTCACTAAGTAGTAGTAATCTATGTCTTTCTATATGCGGTAACGTCTCTGACGCTCCGGTTTAAATCTCACTAGGTTAGCATTAGTTCTTTTAATTTTATAAATGCAGCTGACTAGTGTCGATGTCTACGAAACCTACGTTAAGCAAGGCATCCTATTAACAACGTTCAACTGTTTTAAATGAAAGGAATCTTTAAAGCAATTAGTCCCTTTCCTAAATTTCGATAATGTAATAAGAAGACGAAGATTATTATAACTATGTGATGATAGATTAGCGTAATACATTTCAAACAATCTGATCACACATATACTTGTTAAGAACATTTATATATAAAAATAAAACGTCGACTAGACTGGAAATGGGATAACAAGAGACGAGTATAATAATAAAAGTAGTAATAATAATAATGTGAACACGATTGGAAACCTTATCACTCTGAACAATAAGTCAATATTACTAGGGTAGGTTTAAGGTGAGAACAAACTGTTTTTGAATACACAAAGGGGGTTTGAATTTTCGTATGGCTAAGGCTTCAATAAACCTTAGTATACGCCCTTTCACAACAACACAAAAGCCGAGTTAAGATCAATCTTATGGCCTGTTTCGATTATATGTTTAGCAATAGAAGATGACGGGTGTTTATCCTCTACTGTTATTGGGTCAATTGATTCTATTCGTTTCTGCAACCACTTTGTTCACACACCGTAATTTTGAGATCACAATTGCTCCTCCCTATGTATGTGTGACCACACACACACATTGAAACTGGTAAACACAGTGGGATATGACACAATCGTTTTCATGTCTTTTAGGTTTTGGATGAACCATGCACCCTGTTCCTTCTTTACTGCGCAATACGTTTTGTTGATGACTTATTTAAGCCTTTGTTTCAATAAAAGGCTATTTGAATCACCTCTGAGTGGTAAGGTTTTTTTCTACCAACACTACAGTAGGTCTCACTACACCATGGACTTTCCATCTATTTATGAATTTCAGAGGATATCCATTTTCTATTAATGTCTTACTTAGCAACTCAACATCATCATCAATGGCGTCATTTGTACAAATACGATGAAGGCTGTTGAATAGGCACCTTATCGAACTACGTTTGTATTACACAGTGCAATAACTATAATTACTAAGGTATTGACTTGTTCACGTTAGTTTTCTAAAAATGGATCGTTTGACTGAGCCATCTTCTCGTCTATTCAGAAGTATATCTATGAAGGGAAGTTGATTGTTCTCCTCTTCACATGAGAGACTGTTGTTTATATGGCTTAAATAACCACCCCTATACACATACACAAACATTCTCCGATAATTGAGTTACTGATTATATGAAATAATCAATTTTCATTGTTTAATTGACAAATATGGTTTATTATTATATTGAAGAGATAATATTCCTCTTTTTATTATAAATTACCATAATAGATTAGTACTATTGCTTCAATGTTAATAATCATTAACAAGTTGATCATATGAATGATCCAAATTTATTTGATAAGGTCATCACAATATACAAATATTAGTCATTTCTATGTACATTACATTTCTCATTATTCATTGAATAGATTGTCCAATATTATTTAATTTACAGTAGTTTAATTGTGTTATTCCCTAGAGCATTTAGCATATTATAAAAAAATATAATCATAATAATTAGATGGTGGTTGAAGGTAGTCGACACGAGATCGAATCTGCCAGGGAGCACCCGTTCCATCAAGATTACAGGTGCACCTTGCTGACGAGTGCCAAGTAGCACAAAACCCGGTTCAGGGTTTCCTGTTGACTACCTCCAATCACCATCTAATTTCAATATATAGTGCACGCAGTGTCGAGTCACCTAGACTGGTGACCACATTGCGATAACATTCGATCTGCATCAATAAGGACTAGACACTCATGACATTGATCACCACCCAGTGATCAATCAATTGTGATAGTCATAATAAACATACAATCTGGCGTAAATATACATTAACTTAAATTTTTATGCCCAATTAACAAAATAAGATACTAAATAGATCATAATGATAGTAATATCAGTCAGTCAGTTACATATTTAGGATCAGATATATATATGCATCGGTTCAAGTTGCCATACCTCATTAGCACAACAAGATGAACACCGAATTCATAGAAGTAGTTAATTCAATGGTGGTACTGTATATATAAAAGAAAGATTTCATATAAGGATATAGTACAGGTAGAAAGAAAGATATCAATGATCTTAAAGAAGATAAAAAGATTCTAGAATATAGTTTACAAAGATGAGATGGATTATGTCCAGTTATTAAGTACAGATATATTAATTATAGTGAGAAATTTCCATTTTGACATTTGGTAAATAAAGAAGGAACGAATTGAGTGAAGAAATTTCTTTTCAATTAGTTTTTCATCATGACTCTGCATTATTATATATAAGTATGATTTACAATAATGATATAATAGTCATCGAGTGGATACGTTACGTAATAATAATTACATAATGACATTTCGATTATAAATTAACATTAGAAGGGGGTTCGGTGGAGATTTTTTTAGACATCTCAATAGTTGAAATCATGAGTCAATTGAAGCCAGACCACCATGGAAAACGTGGAAGCACTGGACGACCGTTTCGTCCTATTGTGGGAACCCCTCATCAGTGCGCATGCACGGCCGCGTTCCCCGCGAGATTCGAACCCATGAGTTTCGCGCGCGAGCGCTTAACCATTTGACCACTGAGTCGGCCGGCATCTAACGGTGTTAATGTCTAACGGCCGTCCAGTACTTCCAGGTTTTCCATGGGGGTCTAGCTTCAATTGACTCATGATTTCAACTATTGAAATTGATAAATTAACATTGAGTAATTGGAAGAAAGAGGATTAACAATAATCGAAGTAATTATTCGAAAATCAAGAAGCTGCTACGTTGTATAATATTAAAAAAAGAGAAGGAAAAGAATATTTTGATAAATGGTCAGTAGAATAGTAGTTATGTAAGAATCAAGAGATGAATGTTGAGAATAAGTTAAATACAAAGTTCAAAAAGCAAAAAAAAAAGAATTACGAAAATAGTTTATCAATGTTCTGCTACAAACGTCCCTATACCGATAGCCAAGGTAACAAAAGTGGTTGTACAAACTTCTTTTGGATGCAAAGTTTAGGTTTATGACACATGGATTGCGATGACTTCAGCAATGTGCAAAAGACGCACTCGTAAACCATGTGACAAATTTGATGGATTATGGTAGATAATCTTATATCTATACATATATATTAGTGTAGAGCCATGATGATAAACTAATTGAAAAGAAATTTCTTCGCTCAATTCGTTTCTTCTATATATTAATTATTTGAAGGTAGGAGAACTTCCGTTATTCACCTTCGCAATCTGAAATATTACTACCAAGTTATTTAAGCCATAACTGATCTATAAGACTGAAATATTTACTATCAGAATGGGTTTTGTGGAGATTTCAGCCAGTGAAGTTTCTAAAAAATCTCCACAAAACCCATTTTGATAATAATAATCACCTGCTCACTAGTGACTGACTTCAGGAGATACTCCTGGAGTTCTAGTGAGAAGTCGTTACCTGTGGAGTTCAACTAGGTCTTTTGTGAGATAGGAACTCACTGAAGACAATGGTGTACGGTGGCACAACTCCGTGGATTGGTTGAAGTTAGACATTAACACCGTGGGATGCCGGCTCAGTGATCCTGTTGGTTAAGCGCCTGACGCGGGACTGATAGGTCCTGGGTTTGGATCTCGCGGGGGCGGGGCCATGGATGCGCACTGCTGAGGAGTCACATGCTAGAACGAAACGGTCGTCCAATGCTTCCAGGTTTTCCATAGTGGTCTAGCTTCAATTGACTCATGATTTCAACCAGTGAAATATTTACGATTATCAATGTTATATTCATCTAATGGTAATCAAAATTCTATTGACTATGTTACAAAGAGAGTATGATTACATATCATTATTAAATACAACAATATTAGATATTAATGACCTATTGATTTATACCCTAAAACATAGTTGATGGTCTAGCTTCAATTGATTCATGATCTCAACAATAGTTGGTATAAGTCCATAATTATTTGTGTTATTATACATCCACTACCAATTAGATATGCATTAAATGTATATGTTTTCTACAATATTGGTGAACTTTTGCATTTGTTAAGATATTATAAAGACCTCGAATTGTAAACTAGAAAGGTCATTGAATAAAGATAAGAATGATTTGTCAAGTTTTAATCATTAGAATAGTCATATAATAAATTGTATGAATAGAATATATTGTAAGAATATTTCGTCTTAATAATCGAGGTAATAATAATAATAATAATGTTGTCCGAATATAATATGCATTAAGAGAGGTGTTGTCAAGGTAACTATGATAAAAAGGTAGTCGTATTGTGGTGCTTGCTACTTATATTGATATAAGTAGTATATGACGCGAGTCAGGAATGTATTGTCTGGCAGCAGACGATGGGGAAGATCAAGAAAGTAAGAGTGGAATAGAAAGCAATTAGTATGGAAATACAAGAACAATGAAGTCCAAGACAATTATTGAACATTTTGCAAATCAAGTATTATAGTATGATTTTTCTATTTTACCAAGTAACTCTATAATTTTGTGCTGAATATAATTCGGTTGTCCTCACCTGTGTTCTCCTTCACTACAATATGAATTGGAAAAGATGAATGTGTGTAGATTAACAAAGATATAGACAAAAAAACTGGAATTAGGTTGGAGAGGATAAGAGGTTTATGATAATTCAATTTAGATATCTGGTGATCCAGTAGTTAATTAACTTTTAAAAGAACAGAAATACATTTGAATAGATCTATAATGGTCGTACTCGGAGGTCCTTATCCTTGTGTTCTCGTAATCATGTGCCAATATGGTTTGTGAAACGAAACTTGGGATCTATTAACAGCGTCATCCTTTCATATTTGGTAGATAGTGAACATCATATTAAAATAGATAAAACTTTCTCTATTTTACATCAAGTTCTCATGTATTCTATTCACAGAATTTATTGTATTACTGTTATATTGATTAAAGCTTGACAGTTTACTATAAATCATACTGACCTTTATTAAATGACCTTTCTAGTTTACAAATCACACAATTTTCAAGTATTTATAACAGGAGGGTTTTTGTGGATATTGCAGTAATTTCAACAGTTGAGATCATGAGTCAATTAAAGTTAGACTACGATGGAAAACCTCGAAGCACTGAACGGCCGTTTTTTCTTATTGTGAGACTCCTCAGCAGTGCGCATCCACGATTCCAGCTCACGAGATTCAAACCCAGGAAATATCGGTCTCGCGCACGAACTCTTAACCTTTAGACCACTGAGCCGACATGCAATTATGTTAATGTTTAACTTCAAATAATGCATGAAATTGAGCGACACGTCCACCATTGTCATTAGTAAGTTATTATCTCACAACAGACCCGGTTGAACTTTACTGGTCACTGCTTCTCACTAGAACTCCAGGAAACACCTCTTGGAGCCAGTCACTATTGAACATATGCTGATTAGTATCAGAAGGGATTTTTGTGGATATAATAATGATATAATAATTGGATTCATGAGTCAATTGAAACTAGACCACCATGAAAAACCTGGAAGAACTGAACGGCTGTTTCGTCCTATTGTGAGACTCCCCAGCAGTGCGCATCCACGATTCCGCTCCCCGCGAGATTCGAACCTAGGACTTTCTGGATAGAACACACACAAAATTCCATACTAGAAACGAAATGGCCATCCAGTGCTTCCAAGTTTTCTATGGTGGTCTAGCTTCAATTGACTCATGAATTCAATTATTATATTATTATAATATTCAATAATATAATAAGAAGACAAAGATTATTCAAAAATAGTATGTATCTCACCTTTAATTTACCCTGGTATTATTGACTTATTATCCTTGTCTCCTCTTATCCTCCATTTCTAATCTAATTAACCTTTTATTCTTCAGATATAAATGATTTTAACACAACTATACAGTGTGTGATCATTCATTTTTTAAAAAATATATTGCACTAATCTATCATCACATAGTTAGTTCTAATCATCTTTGTCTTCTTATTACATGATCAGAATTTATCAAATCTGGCTAATTGCTTTAAATCAAGTCGTGAATGCGCACTGCCATGGAGGAGGAGTCCCCACAATAGGACGAAACGACCGTCCAGTGCTTCTAGGTTTTCCATGGTGATCTAGCTTTAAATCACTCATGATCTCAACTGTGGAAGTTATTTATTTATTTATTCAATTTATAACTTAATTTTGTATTATTATTAATATTATTATTAATTATTATTATTAATTATTAAAGATATCTTTAGAGAATCCTTCCCAATCAGGTCAAATGAAAATTATCCTACGTGCACCATATGCATCCACTCCATGTATTGATATTTCAAAACAATTACATAATAATCATACATTTGATCATAATATATCTATAATATATTCATCCTCATCATCGTCATCCTCCTCCTCCTCCTCCTCTTCATCATCATCATCATCGTCGTCATCTTCTTCTTCTTCAACGACTACTTCATCATTATCATCGACTACAACTGAACAATATAATAATGAGAAAAAGTATAAATTATTAATTCAATTTTGGAATTCAACAATGAATAAATCTATTGAAATTAAATATTTATTCTCGCATAGATTATTAGTTATAATGATTGATAGTTTTACATTAATTCTTAGTATCATTTCATGTATTCTATGTATACGATCTATTATACAAGGATTTCATATGTGGATTGTAAGTGTCGTATTTATATTTTAATTATTTATGATAAAAGAAAAATATCTATATATGTGGTTTCTTAAGAAAAAATTTATTTCAATATTATTAAATCCCAGCTTAGTAAGTAGTTTAAATGGGATTATGTCCCCCCTCTCATTGTGAACGATGTCAACATCTGAGTGGGTGGGTGGCGGGAAACATGGGATACAATGGACAAATAGGATGCAGCCTGGACGATTTAGACTTTGCAAATGATTTGGCTTCTCTATCTCATAAGCAACAATGAATGCAGGAGAAAACGAATAGTGTAGCAGCAACACCTGTAGGTCTCAACATACACAAAAAGAAAAGCAAGATTCTCTGATACAACATAATATACACCAATCGAATCACATTTTATGGAGAAGCTTTGGAAGATGTAAAAAGCTTTACATATCTGGGCGGCATCATTGATGAACAATAAGGATCAGATGAAGACGTAAAGGCGAGAATTAGCCAAGCAAGGACAGCATTCCTACAATTAAAGAACATATGGAACTCAAAACAACTGTCTGTCAGCCGACATCAAAGTCACAATCTTTAATACGAACGTCAAGACAATTTTACTGTATGGAGCTGAAACTTGGAGAACTACTACAACCATCAACAAGAAGGTTCAAGTATTTACAAATAGCTGTCTATGCAAGATACTCAACATCCATTGGCCGGATACTATCAGCAACGGCCTTCTGTGGGAGAGAACAAATCAACTTCCAGCTGAAGAGGAAATTAGGAAAAGAAGATGGAAATGGATAGGACATACATTACGCAAATCACCAAACTGCATCACGAGGCAAGCCCCAACATGGAATCCTGAAGGGAAACGGAAAAGTGGAAGTCCAAAGAACATATTACGTCGGTAAATAGACTCACATATGAAAAGGATGAATAACAACTGAAAGGAGCTGCAAAGGATTTCCCAGAACAGGGTTGGATGGAGAGTGCTGTTGAGCGGCCTATGTTCCTCGACAAGGAGTAACAGGCGTAAGTAAGTAAGTAAGTACTGATCGGTAAAAGAAAAACATTTTGTTAACAAGATAAAGAGTAACTTATCACATTGTTATTTTGAATATAAAGACTATACTGGAAATACTTGATGACAGTAACTTCTGGCAAGTGAAGTATACTTGCTGCATTCGGTTAACAAGTCTCAAATAGGATGGAACATCTGTACTGGATTTCACTGCTATCCGTTATCCCAATTTTAATCAGTTACAACGTAGAACTTATTACGTGTGTACATCGGTTCAACTTGCTATAGCCCATTACTAGAAAGAGATGAAATTGTCAGACCGAATTCCAGAATAGTAGAGTATTTAACAGTATCAGTGGTAATAAAAAAGGTTAGATATCGAAGATGCAATTCAAGAACTAGTAAAATAAAGAGATCATGCACAATTTAAGAGCCTAAAATCTGAGGAAAGTCGAAAAATAGATACATCTGCGCCATTGCAAACGATTTCAAGCCATGCCATTTCGAGTGTTTAACCACTGGTTACGATAATCACGCGGACTTCAACCAGGCAGTCTTCATCTGTCAACATGGCTCGGTCCAAATGTCAGTGACTTCATGAACTGATACCATGTTTCGGTTTGGCCACCCATACCTTTCTTGCAGACTACTTCTACACTAGACAACATCGCCTGTCGAGGTAGGAGGTGGTTGGTTATACATAACATATGTCCAAACCATCTCAGTCGATGAAGGTTTATTATTTATTTCAACTCATAGATAATGGTACAAAGAGGCACCAAATACATATGCGCCACACAAATCTCATTCGATATGTGTGAGGGCTGTGATACTGCCAAGGTGCCCAAACCTAAGCAGGTGGTTTTTCTTAGCGGGCCACTCCCCGAGCTATCGATCTGAAGGTCTGATCCACATGGCAGTGGAGCATCATGAGGAGATGCAGTCCCATGGTAGCCAGTGACCAACGATTGGTTCATACGCCATTTGTTCCTTTAGGATACTAGAGCCCATGTGCATCATTGGTTTGGAATCCGGTTAAAGCGCCGGACATTCGCTTTTCGACCTCTCATTTTCGTAAACAACACTGATGCCGCGAGAAGTTAGTGAGTAGGACTTCCCTGGCAGAGGCTATATACGCATGGCCATGTGAGAGCATTTCAAGAGGGAGATCTGACTGTCCCCACTCTCGACCGTACCAGGGCATTTGGGGGCTGAAGGTTTACTACCTCATCATTCGACTTGCCATCCTTACCTAATACCCTATTCCTAGCCCGGACTTTCTTACTCCGTGGTTTAAAAATATACGAGCAATGCTTCGTAGACACCTATGATCAAATACTAGTGACCTCCGGATATCTATTCTTAATAGTCATGTTTCACATCCATGAAGTTGGGTGGAGCGAAATGCTACATGGCAAACGCGCCTTTGATTGGCAAACGGATATCTCGTCTACGTCAGAGGGGACGCAAGTTGGCAGAATCCAATCGAGCATTCTGAATCCATCCCAAGATTTTGTCAGACACCAGACTATCAGGAATGGTGAGATCCCTGAGATAAGTTTGGCGGTCGACGTCTCCAACTACTTCTCTCCGTACGATTAATTCAGACGGTAACGCAAGCCAATCCTGAAGGAAAACCGCATCCCAAACATGCTTGCATTGTTGCTTGAGGTGGTTCCAGTTTAATAGTGTATATATATTGTGTTTAATATTTATCACATCGAAGATGTTTTTTTTTCTTTTCATTTATTCAACTCAACATTTAGGAGACTGTTGGATTCTTTAAGAATTGGTTTGGAATTCAGTTGAATGGAGTGTTTTGGGAATTTGTTCGTCCATGGATCTTATTTATTATAGTCAATGATTTGGTTATCATCACTACATCAATATATGCATTGAGTACATTGAATCATGTAAGTTTTCATACGAATGGTTTCTTTAAAATTTAGTAGAAATTGTTCACTCAACTGATTTTCGACTAAAGTAAATCAGAAATCATCTTTAAAAAATGATAAGAGAGATAGTTGATAGGAAGTTGATGTTTAAGGTTTCAAGTTCGATGATTTAACAACTTAAAGCTACCTGTCATTATACTTTCACATGCTAATCAGTATATAACAACCATGTTAAATATCAGTATGAAGTGCTGTCGGATGAATATTGTCAGTTTTCGCTTCCGAGTTGTCTGCACTGTAGAAGATTGACGTTTCTGAAAGACCTAAAAATGAAACTCGATAAGTGTTAGTGTTCCTAAAGACCTGTCAGAGTGTTCACAGTACCTGAGGAACAAATGCTTAGGGCCTGCCACTTAGGACCATTTTGTGAGTAATCGTGTGTTGGATTTATATTGCTTAGACCGAAAATTTATGGAGTAAGAAAAGATGTTTTATTTTGGGGGGTGATCTTTACTTCTGTTGTGTGAGAATCACTTTAGGTGCTGATTTTCTAAGAGAAACACTTTACTGCCGTCACACTCCAATACAATCGGCAATACATTTTCACCCTCAGTGCTTGAGTTTGCTTCTTTTATTTTTATTGTTCTCCAACTTACCTGACTGACATGATGTAACGATTCATAGGAAAAAAAATGTTTCAATCATTTATGTTTCATTATACCGAGATAGTAGTTACGGTCAATAGATTGTTTCTGACGTATGCCCAACCACCGACTGCCCTGAGAGCGATGTTCAGTGGTGTAGGACTAGGTTGGAAGAAAGCTAGGGACGGCCAGATCAAAACATGACACAAGTCCATGAAGTCACTGACAAGTAAACTGAGCCATGTTGGTAAGTGTAGACCACCTGGTTGAGGACCGCGAGATGATAACAACCGATGGTTAGAGACCTTGAATGAAATGGCTCAAAATCGTTTACAATGGCAGAGGTGCATCCACTCTTTGTGTTCTCTCAAATCCTAATCTTATGAATTTTTCATGTTCCTTTCTTTTTTTTCTTTCCAAATTTATTTCACTGGATTATACTCCTTGGAAAGCATCTTCAAACCCTAATCTTTTCGATCAATTCTTATACTTTTACGCCTAACCGTTGTTGCTACCTTGACGTGGTGGTCGGGCTTGCCTATCGTGATGAAGCAACCGAGCTATACTGGCTGGAACAACCGTTCCTCAAGGTCCTACCATGTCAGACAGGTCGGTTGAAGAGCGGTAAGACTAAAAGCAACAAACCCAAGGTCCGAAGGCGAAGTCGTACTGCTGACTGTACAGAGGTGTGACAGCAGTAAGGTGTTTCCTTCAGACAACCAGCATGACAGCGATGCTGCCTTCCCACAAGGAGGGGTGGGGTTAGAAAAGGTCGACCCTAAAAATGCACACCTCGCCTTATCCCACGGATATCCGTCTCCGGCGGTAAGGTCTCAATAAGTACGGAGCTAACACAAAAATTACCCATAAAAAGGTCGTGTGTGACCGACCTCAAGCAGTTGTCCCTTGGGCACTGCGGTCACGCTCTCAGGTCACTAAGACCACCTCTAATCCAATTTCCTTTTCAGGTACCTCCAGAACAACCCTTCCACGGTGTGGGCAACCGGGAAGTGATAACCGCCCTCATACCTCTAACAGCACTCAAGACCACTGTATTCATAATCAACCTCCTCTTCAATTCCTATTATTCCTCCTACATCGACTTTCAACTCTAAACTTCCTCTTCGGCTTCCACCTCAAGTGTCACCATAGCCAACGATTCTAGTGCGCAAAACACTGTCCCAGGTCTACTGAAACCTCGCTCCAAACTACACATTGGAGCCTTCAACGTACGCACCCTATGTCAAATCGGTCAGCAGGCTTCCTTGGCTAAAACCCTAGAGTCTCTTTCCATTGATGTATGCTGTGTCTCCGAAACACGCATACAGGATTCCAGTGTGGTCATTCACTTGACCTCACCTCGGCAAAACGGAGAGCCAACGAGATACACCCTTCGTGTATCTGGTGACCCGATGGCCAGTTCTCGTGGACTGGCAGGTGTAGGCATAGCACTAAGCATGAGGGCCGAACAAGCACTGCTAGAGTGGATCCCCGTCAACAGTCGTCTATGTGCTGTTCGGCTGAACGGCTACGTAAGAACTCGGAAGGATAGGGACACACGTCGTTGCCTTTTTGTCGTTTCTGCCTACGCTCCCACTGACTGCAGCTCAGATGAAGTGAAAGATGAATTTTACAGAAAGCTATCCGAACTTCTTCAGAAAGCTAAACGCTCAGACATAGTACTCGTAGCAGGTGATTTTAATGCTCAGATAGGCAGTTTAAACCAAACAGAAAGGCATTTAGGTGGATATTTTAGTATTCCGACACAGCGAACAGATAATGGTGATCGTCTGCTGCAGCTATGCTCAGACAATCGTTTATTTTTAGCAAACACAAATTTTAAGCATAAGGAGAGACATCGTCTAACATGGCGACCCCCTACACCAAACCAACGATGGACTCAAATAGACCATATTGCCATCAGTCATCGTTGGAGAGGGTCGGTAGAAGATTGTCGCTCATTCTGGAGTACCTGCTTGGACTCCGACCATGCCCTAATACGGGCACGCATCTGCTTGCGCCTCACTGGACGCAAAAAAGCCACATTAAAAAGACCCATTAGAACTGAGTTGAGTAACGAGAAAACCAAAAGTAGGTTCCAGGAACAACTGAGGTCACACTTAGGTAGTTGTGAAGACGAGGCTGACCCAGATGTTGCCTTGAAAGCCATACAAACAGCTGTGGAAACAGCAGTGACATCTATTAGTGACTTAAACCACAGAGTTACAAAGAACCAGTGGATTTCTTCAAGGTCTGTCACACTGATGGATTCTCGCAAACTCGTCCCATCAGGTTCTGAACATGATGAAGAGCGTAAACAAATCAGATCTAGGTTAAGAAAAAGTCTAAGGAACGACCGTGAGCAGTGGTGGGCAACGAAAGCAAAAGAGATGGAAAAGGCGGCGACTATAGGGAACACAAGACAGCTTTACAGACTAATAAAAGAAACTGGAATTAATAAGTCAAGTGTAAGTGAGATTATTTCGGAAAAAGACGATACTCTCATCTGCTCCCAGTCCAGACGTTTAGAACGATGGGCGGAACATTTTAGAGAACAGTTCAGCTGGCCTTCAGCTACTCTACAACTACCCTCCATTCCCAGACAGTGTGAATGGAACATTGAAGTAGGTCCCCCAACTCTTGCTGAAGTTCAAAAGGCTATAGTTAATCTGAAACGAGGAAGGGCAGCTGGTCCAGATGGATTGGCTCCAGAGGTCTGAGCCATGTTGGTAGATGCAGACTACTTGGTTGGTGTGGTTTTCGTAATTATTGTAACCAATGGTTGGAGACTGTAGATGACATGACTGAGAATCGATCACAATGTCGTCGGTGTATACACTCTCTGTCTTCCTTTAAACTGAGATTAAAATCGCTTCATATCTTTCTTTCTACGAACTAATTCTTTCTTCCTGTACTATATCCTTATATGCAATCTTTCTCCTATATATTACCACCTCTGAATTAACTACTTCTATGAATTCGGTGTTCATCTTGTGGTGTTAACGATGTATGGCAACTTGGATCGATGCATATATGTGCCTGGTCCTACGTTGTAGCTGACTGACTGACTGACTATACTTTTACTACGTCTATCACTATGGGATGTGAATCGAGAATTATATCTCTATGCTAATGTGGTATGGCAACTTGAAACGATGTATGTATCTACATCCTTTGACGGAGAAAAGAAAAGAAATACATTATCACCACCTTACACCTTTTTTTTTTATTATTTTTAAAGAAATTATGATAAATGAAAGAGAAGAAAAATCATTCATGATTTAACTGACAAAATGTTACGTAGAAAAAAAAAGAAAGAAATTCCTAGAACACACACATGAAATGGTCATACCGTGTTGCCTTGTTTTTCATCTTTAGTCTAAATTTAATTGACTCATAATCTTAACCATTAACAAAAATAAAACCTACTCTATAATATCGACAACAACCCTTTTTCCCCCCCATTTTCATAATGATTTTAGTTGATGAATATATTTATTGATTCGTTTACTATGATGATGGATATAAAATTTATAAATTAATTTTATTTTTTCACTTAGAAACACAAAAAGAATTTCTATCGATTATGTAGTAAAAGTAAACAATAATAATTTTGTTAAAGTATATATATATATATATATATATATATATAATATATATATATATATATATATATATATACAACATATACAAGTATAACATACCGAAATTGTATCTTTAACCTTCGTTCCGTTTACCGAGTAAAGTGAATTGTAATAGTATACATACATATCAGTTTCCTCTGACGTTTGTCAACGTTGTACTGATGTACCAGTAATTCAATTTAGTGACTAAAAGTGTCAGTCAGTAACAACGTAGAATTTCGTACGTACGTACATCAGTTCAAGTTGACATACCACATTAGTACAGAGATATAATTGTCGATTCAAATCTCATAGTGGTAGAAATAGTAAAAGTATAAGCAGTAATCGGAAAGATTAGGCTTTGAACATGTTATTCAAGGAGTATAATCCAGTGAAATAAATTTGCGAAGAGAAAAAAGAAAAGGACGTGAAGAATTCAGAAGATTAGAATTTGGGAGAACATAAAGAGTGGATGCACCTGTGCCATTGTAAACGATTTTGAGCCATTTCATTCAAGGTCTCTAACCATCGGTTGCTATCATCTCGCGGTTCCCAATCAGGTGGTCTACACCTACCAACATGGCTCAGTTTACTTGTCAGTGACTTCATGGACTTGTGCTATGTTTTGGTTTGGCCGCCCCTAGCTTTCATCCAACCTACTGCTATACCATAAAACATCGCTCGTCGAGGCAGTCGTTCGTTGGGCGTACGTAACACATGTCTCAGCCATCTCAACTGATGAAGTTTCACTACTTCGTCAACTGATTTGCCATCCTTACCTAGTACCCGTTTCCTAACAACTGCATTACTTACTCGATGGTCCCATGATATACGAGCAATATTTTGAAAACACCTATGATGGAATACTAGTAACCTACGAATATCCTCTACTCTTACCGGTCATGTTTCACTGCCATAAAGTAGGACGGAATGAACTGCTGCACAGTAACCCGTTCCTTAGTTGGTAGACGGATATCTCGCCTACGTCATAAATGACGTAAGTTATCAAAAGCTAGTCGAGCCTCCTGTATCCGTGCTGAGATTTCATCACACACCAGACCACAAGGGCTGATGAAAATTCCAAGATAAGTGAAGCGGTCGACACGTCTCAACTACTTCACTCCCTATCATTAGTTCGGGTGTCGATTCAACCCAATCCTGAAGCAGTGAAAAGGGGCGACATGCATTTCTTATTTGAGACTCGTCAGTTTGATAAACACTCGTAATATTATTGTAATACAAACAATAATTTCACTGTCCATTTATTGTTGCTTTGTTAATTTTGTTTCATAGATTCAAGTGAAATACGAACCATTGACTTATTTAATGGGTATTGGTGCACTACTTGTCTGGATTGGTATACTATACTATGTTGGTTTCTCATATGATAACAGCGTAAGTATACACACAGATTAGATGACTGATTGTAACACATTTTAGCTTATAATTTCATGTTACTCATAAGTAGTATAAATGTTTATTAGTCAAATGGTGATTGTAGTCGGTTACACTCAATTTGTTTCAATTTTCTGGATTTTGAAATGGTCAACATAATGTTTTGTTTAGAAACTCGTCTCGATTGTGTTTCTACAGTGTTTTAATCGTGTAACATAACGATTATTAAATCGCGAATTCAAGTTGAAATAATCGACCAAAATTATTCAAACTACTTTACAATGTGATTCGAAAATTATGTAATATAAGTGTGATGCACTTGTAGGACATTGTTTAACTCACAATTCTCTGTAGTCGATCATCTTTGACTCCTAAGGATTGCTGGTATCTAGTGGCGGCAACACTGTTAGTAATGCAAAGATTCAGCATCGTGTGTGTTCAGGCACAATCACTCTATTACTATCTTGAAACATCGACTTCGGTGGCTTAGACATGTTCTACGAATGTCATCCCAGAGAATTCTATATCGTGTATAATTTGTGGACACTGAGACCGGTTGGACGAAGCGCAAGAGGTGGTCAGTGTATGATATGCATATATTTTGATGCCTTCTTATATCAATGTTTATATGTTTAAATATAAATTATCTGTATAAACGATCTGTAAAATGGAATCAATTAAAGTGACATAATTTTACTCATAAAACAAACAAGTTGAATGCATGATAGCGTATGTGAATAACACTGATTAGAATTGTTCAGTTGCATGTTCTTCATACAGGGACATTCTCCTTCTTTGATTAATACATAAGAACATTGAAATTGTGTATTATTATCTAGTGAAAAGTCATATGATCTGTTGAATATGGTTTCATTGACAAGTAAAGATGATGATCAATCGTAATAGACAACCTCATGGTTTTAGTTGTTTATCCAATAATACAATATCCCACATAATTGATTTGTTCATTCACATGATAAATAGAGATTAGGATCCACAATAAACTCTTATTTTTATTAATATAACATGAATAAGTGAATGATAAATATTTCTTTTATTACATAATCAATTAAATCTTGATTTTACAACTAAGTTTATTTATTTAAGCATATCAACATTAGTAATAAGAAGGCATCAAATACAAATGCACCATACTTCATCATTCCATTTATGTGAAGGCTGGAATACTACTACCTAGGCGTTCAAATCAAAGCAAGTGGTTTAATCTACAAGTCAATGAAATAAGGTTAGGAGATACAGTACCTTGGTAGCCAGTGACCAACAATAAGTTTCCTTCAGGACCCTGGAGGTCATGTACACCCATATTTTGGAATCAGGGTTTTCCAACTCTACTAGGTTGATCCTTCGTATCTGTCAAGTCTGTTAAAGCACCGGACATAAGAATATATTTGCTTAAATTTTGTTTGTTTATTGAAATACTGAACAAATCAAGACTTAAATTTATTGATGTATAATTTTATCTCTGTGTGCCAATTTAGTGATTTGAATCTATTCAAATAATTATTCGTTTTTATATTGCGGATGACTAATTAACTAACCTGACTCATAGTTATTGTGATGTATGCTGCTTATACGGATATATAAGTAGTATGTATCAAGAATTGGAATTAGAATTCTTATTGAATGTACCTACATCCCAGGATTGATTTTCACTATGAAACTTAAAGCAAATACCGTCATCGCATAAGTGAGTGGCTATCTGAACTCAGTAGTTAAGTGGATAAAGTGTTGATATTTGAAGCAAATGTTATTATGTTCCAGTATTGGAGTGAACATTAAGCCTACGATCCAAGTGGATCCGACTGAAGTGTTCAAAACAAAACGAAACATGCGTGTGATAGGAACTCCAGATCATCCAATATTGATTCAACAAATCCATGTAAACTTTGAAAAATAGTAATTGATCAAAGAAGAATTAATGAATTATACACTACAGATTATTTTAAGTTAATAAATCGTCAATCTATCTATTATTAGGTCTAATCTTTATTCATTATACTAATAAAGAATTCACAAGTCAGTTTAGTCATCAACAACGTAGAACTTCGTACGTACGTACATCAGTTCAAGTTGACATACCACATTAGTATAGAGATATAATTGTCCATTCAAATCTCATAGTGGTAGAGATAGTAAAAGTATAAACAGTAATCAGAAACATTAGGGTTTGAAGATGTTATTCAACGAGTACAATCCAGCGAAATAAATTTGGAAAGAGAAAAAAAAGAAAGGGAGATGAAGAATTCAGAAGATTAGAATTTGGAAAAACACAAAGAATGGATGCACCTACAACATTGAAAATGATTTTAAGGCATGTTATTCAAACAAGTTTAACTATGATTCATCGACTATAATCATTAATCTAACTTATAGATGAATAAACAGAAATATATCGATCCAACTTTTAACCAATATCATAGTTACAATCTTCAATATGAACGTCAAGACAATTTTAGTGTATGGAGCTAAACTTGAGAACTACTACAACTATCATCAAGAAGGTACAAGTATTTAGTTGTTTGCACAGGATACTCAACATCCATTGACCGGATACCATTAGCAATAGCCTATTATTGGAGAAAACTGATCAGAAAAGATGATAGAAATAGATAGGACGTATATTATGCACATTAATCAAACTGTATCATGAGACAAGCCCTAACTTAGAATCGTGAATGGAAACAAAAAAAAAAGTGTAAGGTCAAAGAACACATTACATCAGAAATTGTAAGTAGACATGAAAAGGATTGTTTAGAAGACGATTAAATAGAGAGTGTACTATTTAAGTGGCTTATGTTCCTCCACAAGAAGTAACAGGCACAAGTAAAATACATTATTTCTTACTTACGATATCCTTCTAAGACACAAACATAATCATTCATGTAATAATGATCATCTATTTCTCATTATTATTTTCTCTCTTTTTTCTTTTTTTTTTCTCTTTTTTTTAGTTACTTATTCGTACTATCTCACGTTCTATACCGGGTTTATTACGTTTTTGTGTTTGTGCATTAATATTATTTTTTGCATTCAGTTTATGCGGTTGGGTTGTATTAGGACCGTATAATTTAAAATTTCGTACATTTATGTCTACAGTTGAATGTTTATATAGTTTAATTAATGGTGATGATATGTTTGTTACATTTACTATTATTAATCAAAATGCTCCAATTGGAATTTATTTATTTAGTCGTTTATTTTTATATTTATTTATTACATTATTTATCTATGTTGTATTAAATTTATTTGTTACAATTATATTTGAAGCATATGAAGAAGTAAAAGTAAGTTACATGGATATCTGATTAATATTTGAATAATTTATGATTTGGTTAACGTTTTTTTTTCTTCTCCTTAGCGAGTTCGCTTTCTACGAAATGAGGTCGCTAACCTTAATGCCCGAACCTCCTGTTTTATCCGGACTGGAGATGGGCAGTAGCCTCCGGAGGGACACTAGGCGGAGTTCAATATTAATAATAACAATCTTTATTGATTTATTTAAACATATAGATATTGGTATTGAGGAAGGGAAACTCCGCTTCGAGTCCCTCCGGGGGCTACTGCTGGTCCCAAGCCCGGATAAAGGAGGAGGGTTAGGCATGGGGTTAGCGTCTCTATCCCGTAGAAAACTAACTCGCTAAAAAAACGCTAACCAGAAAGTAATTGAGGGGGTCATCGAATAGATTTGTATGACGGCTGTGATACTTCCCGGATGGGTGGGGGCTATACCTAGAGCCTTTGACCTGAAGGTCTAATCCACAAGGCGGTGGAACAATGTAAGGAGATGCAATTCTATGGTAGTCGATGACCAACAATCGGTTCATATACCATTTGTTCTTTCAGGATCCTAATACTTATGTACACCATTGGTTTAGAATCAGGGTTTTCCAACTCCTCTAGGTGGATCTTTCATATCCATCAATTCAGTTGAGTCGTCGGACATTCGGTTTTCATCCTCTCGATTTCGTAAACAATATCCCCCGCCACGAGAAGGTAGTGAGTGGGACTTCACTAGCAGTGGTTGTATACATGTAGCCATGTGAGACCATTTCAAGAGGGAGATATGACTCTTCCCACTCTCGGCCGTGTACAAATACACAAGTTCGTACACGTTATCTCCGTGCTGGACATACGCTTTTCGTCTTCTCAATTTTATAAACCACACCCCGGTCACAAGAAGGCATTGAATAGGACTTCTCTGGCAGAGGCTATATACGCGTGGCCACTCTCGGCCGTACCTGGGCATTTGGGTGTAGTGCTTTGCGGAGGCTAGCCCCCTATCTTCGGACAAGCCGATTCCAGGGGGTGGATGCACTCTTAACAAAAAAAGAGAACTCTTTCCAGAACTCACGTACACGTCTCCGAGGTCAGTTGCGTTACTATGTAGAGCTGTGAAGCTCTCATTATGATATTGGATGTTCATCATTGATAGTGTGAATGATTCGATATTATTTTGACACGTTTTGTTGATTGTTTATGCAGAAAATTGGTTTGTCGGTTAACTGATTTCATTTATACTGGTAGTTGTTTTTAATGTTCTTAATGGCCATTGTTATTGGGACATTGCTATTGCTAAGATTAATGAGTTTGACTGTCGTGTAAGTGGAATAAGTCAACTTTCGTTTGTTTGTGCCGTGCATAATTGTTTCACGCGATCATTGATCAGAATAATTATTATACATGTGACGTGAATGTGTATATGAATTGTGCGAATGGTCCACCAGGGTGTTTGGTACCTGTGTTGCTGCGCCACAAGTTTTAAAGCCTATATGGTGTCTGGTTCTCCTGTGAAGCGGGATTGAGCTGTACTAACTAACTAAATAATATTAATAATTCATTTGACTAAAATTCTAATTGATCATCCAAACAATTAGTATAGGTATTTATATTTATTTATTTGAACACATAAATATTGGTACAAGAGAGCGCCAATATATATGCGCCACACAAAACAATGAAAATTCGAGAGGAATACAAAGAAAGAAAAAAAAGCTAAGGAGCGCAACAAAAAAAAGAGAGAACAATGACGAAGAGATTGGAGTAAAGTAGTGTGCTAGTAATCAGGGAACGCAAAGGTACAATCAGAAGAAATCTTTCAGGTAAGGGAGACACAACCACTTTTTATGAAGAAAGTAAAAGAAGGTTACAGCAGGATCGCCACTGGCTTCTATTCTGAGCCATATCTGATAACGTCTCTAGCCACTGTGTAGCACCATCTCCCGGACCCCAACCAGAGAGCCGTGAAGGACCGACAGAAGCCAGTCCTTTGCAGCTTTCTTTCATATCACGACACCATGTCATGCACTGACCACCTCTCCGCTTCTTCCAACCAGTCCCAGAGTCGGCAAATAATGCACGACGTGGAATTCTCTGGGACGACATTCGTAGAACATGTCCAAGTCACCGAAGTCGGTGTTTCAAGATGGTAACACCAATTGAATTGTCATCTCTGTGCCCGAACACACGATGCCGAACCTCTGCATTACTGACATGGTGTTGCCACTGAATGTCAGCAATCCTTCGGAGACAGCGATAATCGAACACAGAGAGTCGTCTAACGTCCTCAACTCGGAGAGTCCAGGTTTCACAAGCATAGAGCAAAACTGCTCTCACCAACGCGTTGTAGATCCGACCTTTTACAGCCAGACTAACATCACGAAGGCGCCAAAGATGGCCCAGATTGGCATAAGCCGCTCTGGCTTTCACTATACGTGCATTGATCTCATCACTCACACCCCACCAGCACTTATGCAGCTACCCAGATACACGAACTTCTCGACTACGTCTATTTGCTCACCATCCAGGGTGAGTACAGGATTGGAATCCTGCCAGTCTTGTAGAAGTACTTTGCACTTCGAAGGTGCAAAGCACATACCATACCTACGGACACTGATTGTCAACTGATTAAGTGCGGATTGCATGCCTTGGGCATTATCGCACAGTAAGACAATATCGTCCGCATACTCAAGGTCGAGAAGTCTTTCTCCAGGCAACAGATCCACACCACCATTACTTACATTCATCAGAGCGGTTTCCAGAATGTCATCGATGGCAAAGTTGAAGAGGAATGGTGGGACTGGGCAACCCTGCCTAACCTCACTGCTCGAATGGAACAACGGAGAGAGGTGGTTGTATGCCCTCACAGATGTAGAGCGAATTTGTAGTACTTCGCCAGAGTCTTGAATACGGGTCTCGGATAGACAGCAGACATCGATATGAAGACTTTCCAAAGACATAGCCAGCCCTATCTGTTGACCAACCTGCATAAGTGTGCGAACGTTGAAGGCAGCCAGTTTGAATGGTGCACATGGATTGAGAAAAACTGCTTCAGTACTTATATTCGGTGGTAACATACAATATAAGTATAAAAGAGGGTGAATAATGTGGAAAATAATAATAATAATGAAAATAATAGTAGTAATAATAATAATAGTATTAATAATGACAATAGTAGTAATGATAATTATTTGAATCGATTGATTGTTTTTCGGAGCGAGAAAAGCAGTTGCCATAGACATAGAGTTCATCGTTTGTGTGTGGGCTGTGATACTGCCCGGGTGCCCAAACCAAAGCAGGTGGTTATCTTAGGGGGCCACTCCCCGAGCCTTCGACCTAAAGGTCTAACCCACAAGGCAGTGGAGCATCGTAAGGAGATGCAGTCCCATGGCAGCCGGTGACCAAAGATTGGTCATACGCCATTTGTTGCCGCAGGATACTGGAGCCCATGTGCACCATTGGTTTGTGATCCGTTTAAAGCGCCGGATATTCGCTTTTACTCCCAATGGAAGAGCATAAGCCACCGACCAGCATTCTCTAACACACACTATCCTGGATCTTCCTTTCTAATTGTATCCAATTGCTATTCATTCTTCTAATATCTGTATCCATTTCGTGAACCCGAATTTCTGCATACAAAATTTAACTACTTATAAGTAGGTAAAAAATAATGTCTTAAAATCTAGCGCCGACTTCAGTTAAAATGAATTCATAACGTTTCATTTGTCCTTATCTATCCTTATTTATGAAAATTGGAAATTCATCATCCAATATCATTTGAATTTTGATGAATTGAGATCAATTAATGTGATTGAAGTGAGAAAAGTCAAGTATGTGATAAACTGTACTACGATCTCATACAAATTAATATGCTGTTGTGTTGCTAATAGGAACAAACTTAAAGTATTGTGAACTGTTCAAATAAATTTTCGCAGTATAAAACCCTGGAACCGGTGACTACTGTATTAAACTCAAGAGAGATCGAACTATTCCAGTTTTCACCTAATTTATCCCACAGAGTTGGGTTTGTAGTGAATTTAATCAGCTTTCACCAAATAATAAATTGCCGATTCTGACTTCGTTCTCCAACTTTTCTTGTTTTAATTGTATTATCATCAGTAATTTTCAGAAAAATAAACAGTATAGCGTAAAATGGATAAATCTATTTATGATTAATGATGTTTAAGTATCGATAAAGTGGAATTGTTGCTAGATATTATCATAGCCAGACCTACACACAATTAGAACATCAACGGATAGCGTTTGCTTATATGAAAATGGTTTTATGTCTTCATACATTTGACATAGTCATCAACAATCACAAATGTATTCAACAAGAGGCATTTATTTATTTATTTGAATACATCGAGTACACAAATGCGCCACGCTTCGCCATTCCATTTGTATGAGAGCTAGTATGCTGCCCAGATCGAAGCAGGTGGTTTTCTTCGAGGGCTACACCCGAAGCATCTTACCTAAAGGTCTGATCCACAAGGCAGTGAAACAACGTAAAGAGATGTAGTCTCATGGTAGTCGGTGAACAACAATAGGTTCATGTACCATTTGTTCACTCAGGATCCTGGAGCCTATGTGCATCATTGGTTTGGAACCAGAGTTTTCCATCTTCCTCGAGTGATGGACTCTCTGTGTCCATCAACCCGTTTAAAGTGCTGAACATTCGCTTTTCATCCTTTTAATTTCGTAAACAACACACGGGATGCGAGGAGGCAATGACCATACTATCCGATAGTTTCACTCAACTTGTCAGTCACAACGTAGAATCAAGCATATATATGCATCCGTCCAAGTTGCCATACCTTATTAGCACAGCAAGACGAACATCGAATTCATAAAAGCAGTTAATCCAATAGTGTTATATGTAAAGGAAAGATTTTAGGTAAGGATACAGTAAAGAAAAGAATCAGTTCGTAGAAAGAAAGATATGAAGCGATTTTAATCTCATAGTGTAAGGGAAGACAACGAGTGTATACACCTATGCCATGTTGATGGATTCTGAGCCATGTAACCAAGAGTCTCCAACCATTGGTTACGATAGTCATGCGGACCCCAACCAAGTAGTCTGCATCTACGAACATGGTTAAGACTAGAGGTTAGTGACTTCAAGCACTGATGCCACGTTTTGGTTTGGCCGCCCCTCACCTTCTTCCAACCATCCCTAACACCGGTTAGCATTGCAATTGGTGTTCAGGCATACGTAACACGTGGCCCAACCATCTCAGTCGATGAAGATCCACAACCTCATCAAGTAATTTACCATTATATCTTGTGTCGAACCTTACTATTACTTACTCGGTGATCCCAGCAAATGCAAGTAATATCTTTAATACATCTATGATCAAGTACTAGTAACTAACAAATCTTCTACTCTTAATCGCCAAGTTTCTCAGCCGTAAAGGGGAACAGAACTAACTGATGTGTAGTATACTCGTCCTTTTATTGAAAGACGGATATCTCGCGTTCGTCATAGGTGACGTAAGTTGACAGAAGCCAAACGAGCTTTTGGAATCCGTTCTGAGATTTCGTCAGACACCTCTGCATTTAAATTTTGCCTTATTTATTCATTGGATGAATTTTTTTTGTTTATCTCTTTTTTATGTTTCAAGGATATGCAAAATACCCATGGACGTTCAAATAATTCACCATTATGGCATTTTGTTTGTCAACAATATTATAATCCTAAATCATCTATATTTAAAGAAGATGAAACACGACCTGATCGACATTTACTTCATGAACATGCACTTGGTTATATGATGAAAACAACGACGACAACAACAACAACAACACCATCAATAGCAAAAAAATCATCTACATCCAATTCACATCATATTAACAGATTACCATCATCATCATCATTTAATGATGTATGTTTAAAATGTAAACATTCCTTCACAAATCATTCACATATTCCACAACAACAACAACAACAACAACACTGTCAACATCAAGAAGTTGATAATAAAGAAAGATGTTATTGTTGTCAGCATCATCAACAACATAAACAATTCAAACAAAATCAACAATATTCATCATTACAAAATAATAATTCATTAAATCAATTGAATCATTTGATGAATATAGACAATAACTTTACTATGACAATAGAAAAAACATTTGAAAATAATAATTCATATCCGATTGAACAAAATAATGACAATATTATTGAACACATTCAACAAGGAATTGAACAAATCAATGATGATATTCATGTAAATAATGTTCGTAATCGAATAATTGAAGGAGTAAGTTATTGTTTATTTATTTAATAATTACATATAAGATGGGTTTTTGTGGATATTATAGTAATTTCAATGGTTAAGATTATGTGGAACTAGACTACCATGGGAAACCTAGAAGCACTGGACGGCTGTTCCGTTCTATTGTGGGACTTCTCAGCAATAAGCATCTGCGACTTCGACCCCTGCGAGATTCGAACCGAGGACCTATTGGTTTCACGTGCGAGCACTTAACCACTGGGTTGGTATCCAACGGTGTTAATGTTTAACTTTAACTAATCCACGAAATTGAGCGACATATCCACCATTGTCTTCAGTGAGTTACTATCTCACAACAGACCTGGTTAAACTCTACTGGTCACTACTTCTCACTAGAACTCCAGGATAAACCTCTTGAAGCCAATCACTAGTGAGCATAACGAAACGACCGTCCAGTGCTTCCAGGTTTTCCATGTTGGTCTAACTTCAACTGACTAATGATCTTAACCATTGAAATTAAATATAACTTGTTCATAAGGTAAATTATTGGGATCAACTTGATAATTTGTAAACAAAAGAAAATGACCAATGAGTTGGCATCCAATAGATAGTGACTCAGTGATTTAGAAGTTAAGCATTTGCGCGCAAGACCGATAGGTCCTAGTTCCCAGCAGGATCATGGATGCGCTGCTAAGGAGTCGCATACTAGAACGAAATATGGCCGTCAAAAGCTTCCAGGTTAACTGAACTATAAAATAACATTGATTTTTGCTAATCGAACAGTGTGATTGATGGTTAAATAGTTGTACTTAAGTGGTAATTAAATTCTTTCGATGAAGATATAAATATATGTATTAGCTCAAATAACATGACATTTCTTACATTTTGTTTTGATTGTTGGTTGCCCTCATATGCCGTGGTACGACTGAGAGTGTGGAGAGTCAGCTCTCCCTTTCAAAATGCTCCACATGCGTATAATCACTGCCTTCTCGCGACATCGGTGTTGTTTACGAAATTGATAGGACGAAAAGTGAATATTCAACACTTTAACCGGGTTGGTCGATATGGAGGATTTACCTAAGGGAGTTGGAAAACGCGGTTTTCAAACCAATAGTGGACATGGGCTCCAGGATCCTGAGGGAACAAATGGCGTATGAACCAATTGTTGGTCATCAGCTGAAATGGGATTGCATCTCCTGACGTCGCTCTACTGCCTTGTGGATCAGACATTCAAGTCGAAGGCTCCGGGTGTGGAGCCCTCCAACAGACCACCTTTTTCGGTTTGGACACCCAGGCAGTATGCAAGCCCTCACACAAATCGGATGGCTTATGTGACGCATATCACTTTGGTACCTCCTTGTACCGATGTTTGTGTTTAAATAAATAAATAATTGTCGGTTATTGGTAGGGATGAGAAAGGGGCCAAAGAACATTTATCAGTTTATCTTGTCTAGAATTTTGAAGAGGAAAAAACTGGTGCTCTTTTTAAAATGCTGACAATCATGTTCACAATTTTTTTGGATAATTCTATGCAGATGATGAAAAGCCGTGAAATAAACTAACGAATTCATTTTATTCAACAAATCTGATTGTTCTTGCTTACTGTTCACTTTAAACGTCATCATGTTATCCACTTAGCTACTGAGCTCGAGTCCCAGAGTGATCATCAACTCTGAGGTGCAGGTGCATCCAGTTGACGAGTCCCAAATACTACGAAACGTGCCTCCTAGATTCCACTGCTGGCCACTATCCATCTTTGTTTATAATGCTTGTGACTTAAGGCAATATCGAGGCAATCCGCACTAGATGCACATATACCAATAAGAGACTGATTAATTGCATTCAAATAAACAAAGATGATCGCGCGATTTCGTGGATTGGTTCAGGTTAGATATTAACACCATTGGAAGCCGCTTCAGTAGGTTAAACGTTCGCGCACAATGCTGAGGACCCTGGGTTTGAGTCCCGCGAGTAAAGTCGTGGATGTGCACTACCGAGGGATCCCACAATAGGGAAAAAATGTAGCCCTGTGCTTTCAGGTCTTTAATGGCCGCCTAACATCAATCTGTTCATGATCTAAATCAAAAAACGCAATAGCCTCTAAAACTCCTATACTGATAAACAAAAATGGTTGGTGGTTAGCAATGGAATCCAGAATCCACGTTTTGTCCTATTTGAATAATCGTCAGCTAGTGGATATTACCTACATCCTAGAGTTGATATTCACTCTAAGATTCGAACATCAGTACCGTTTACTTCAAACGCCATCGCCCACTTAACTACTAGTCCTTGATTGCACTACTAACCACTATCCATTTGTTTGTTTTGCTCAAAATGTTATCATAATTAAGAAATAATATTTCCTTTTTTTCTAATTATTCTCTTTTAAAGGTGAACATAATCATTACAGCTGATGAATCTGTTAATGTATAGATCATTATTCTTTATATTTTTTTATGGAACTTATTCTTTATTTTATTGATCATCATTTATTCATTCATTATTACATCATTCTATTTGACTATTTATATTGTGACCAATTGAATCATTTATGCATTTGTCTTAGTTTACTCTTTTTTTTTCGTTTTTTTTTTTAATAATAAAAATACCAGTAACCTCATTGTATTGTTTTATCAGAATTATTAATACTACTACTAACAATTATGTATTAGTAATATCTATCTAACTATCTATTTCGTTTCTTTTTTTTTAACTAATTACAATATGATTACAGCATAGTTTATAGTTTGTTTACAAATTTATATTGTTGATTTCAAACTACATTATACTGATACTATTCGATTTTTCTAAACTAGAAACAAACAAATAGAGTGGGTTTCGAACCTTGAACTTACTGGCCAAATGTGAAAAGTTATGAACAATTAACAAATTGTTTTATATGGGCCACATCAACCGATAAGTATATGTACTGTTCACAAGTATCTTATCGTTGCTTTTGTGTAAATGTTTAGCTAGTATTATAGTGAACGAGACCACTAGTATGGACTAATCGAATATATTTGAATACAGAATGTTTTAGTAAAATCTTAGAACAATATAATAAATAATTTACTTGAAATTATCAACCAATCGTCTTCAACTTTATTGTTCTTTGGTTTCCACAACAATCACTCTTTGTTCGCATTCTTTTCTCTTTGATCTTTTTAACATTCTGTTACTAGGCATTTCAATTTTGATTGATGATATATACTACTTATATCTGTCAACATCGGTAGCACATACCAGTGTATCTTAAAATATGCGTATATAACAACGAAGCACCAGAAAAAGCATACCTTCGACAATATGATGTTTTAGGATAATGATTGTTTGAATTTATGATGAATCTATAAATCAATAATATATTTATAATATCCCAATGAATACTGATTGGGAGAGATGATTACATAACATATTTTATCAGATCAAACCGGGAATGCAGTTTGTCAAGGTTCCAATATACAAATTCAAGTCGTAAAAGTATATACTGATCAATGAGTTGTGTATACAGTGATTTGGTTGCCAGTTATAGCATCCTATTTATCTTTAGTCTCACTAACGTCAAGGGTAGGGCTTGCTTAAAAGGATTGTGTATGTGTCCATCCATTCAGAGAACGTAACACATGAGATGATAGAGAACATTTGTAGTTCAGGATGATAATGTCTGAGTTGTTATGACCTCTAAACTGAATGGATTAATTGTGAAGCACATTATCATTGCAACGGATACTTACTTACTTACGCCTGTTACTCCTCGTAAAGGAGCATAGACCGCTCACCAGCATTCTCCATCCAACCCTGTCCTGGGCAATCCTTTCTAGCTCCGTCCAGTTGTTATTCATCCTTTTCATATCTGCTTCTATTATCCGACGTAATGTGTTCTTAGGCCTTCCTCTTTTCCACTTCCCTTCAGGATTCCAAGTCGGGGCTTGCCTCGCAACAAGTACATTTGACTACATGTCCCAGTGATCTTGTGAACGATGAAAGTTGTACAACTAATCTATCCAACTTAAAGATCACAATAACAACGTAATACAATGAGCTCAATTTGTATACCTATATGCCTACAACGTCTGATCTGCTACACCGTGTACTATCACATTTACATTTATTGCATACGTATTTGTTCATTAAACGAACGATGAATTAACCTTAACTATCTACATTGAAGAATCTATTCAAAACATACACTTTGAATATTTCTAGTATGTTAAGATACAAACTTTTCTGATGAATAACTCAATAAATAATTGTCAACTACAAAGAACTTGATCAACACTATAGATAGATACAAACAAACATGATATTGATTCAAATAATCATTGATAGATATTAATTAGTAATTACAGCTCTGTAAAAGATGAGTTATGATTCAGATATTTCAACGGTAATGTCTCAGTTTGTGAAGGTGGATAACGCGAGTCCGGATTCTACAGAGAATATCCGTTACCTTAAGACTGTAGATACATCTTACTGTCAAGTACTAACAAGCATAAAACTTAAATACATGCTGCCCTGTCGACTACAACCTTAAGTGAATTATCATATTGTTATAATAGAACGAATCTTGGAGAAGTTGTGAAGCTCATGTCTATTTACCAGATTATGATGATTTGTATGTTTATTGTATAATTAGTAAATAACTTTATTGTTAGATTTCTATGTTCCACTTATTGTAAACTTATGATAGACTTAATAACTTTTAAATACTTAACTATTCTTTAATGGTATGTTGTTTACTTGCCTTCTAATACTAGTTATGGTTAATTGTATTTCATATTTGATACCGTTTGTGTGTGTGTGGTCTGGTATTATTTTCAATATATCATTATATGATTAAATGAGTTACAATGAACAATTAATCTCCTTGCTAATTATCATCTTTTAATTGATTATTCGATTAAAAAGAGGTTCAGGAATCAATAAACATTAAAGTATTGATTATTTGCGTTATCTTCTATTTTATGATACAATGTAATCTGTTTGGCGGCTAGTGTATATAAACGCAGTATATTTGTGAAATATAAGATTCATATCACACAGGTTGAAATTGATGTGTTCTGCACTCAACCGACAACCAGGAAGCAAGACCGATAAAATCTCTAGACTATTCATAAATGGTTTTATGCATCATTGACCTAGTCGATAATTGGCAGTATCATTACATTAAATATGAATAAGACACATGGCACAAGTTATAACAATTTTTCGTGAATTAGATCTCTAATCCGACTGGTACTACGTGAAATAATGATCGAAAAGGAAAGAAACAATCTGCACTATTGTGCAATACATGTCTTCTATTGATGAATATGCATGTGTTGTGTATCGTTGAGATGAATAGTAAAGATTGAAATAAAAGTACATGGTCATTTTATTCTTATTATGAAATTGGTAAACTATTTGAAATAAACAAAAAGTTCAAATCACATATGATGATGATGATGATGGCAACAACACCAAATTTATTTTATCTAATAGAAACAGATCAGCATTACAAAATACAACACAAGAAACATAATGCCATTTATAGACCATTCATTCATTCATTCAACAAAACAATAAAATTAATATCAGAAGAGGAAATATGAGTAGAAAACATATTTATTATTATTATTTACTCTATCATCTATCATGTGTGGGGATGTGTGTGTGTGCGCACTTGTTGCATGATCCCTCTTTGTCTCCAACTTTCCATCAACTACACACAAACGCGCACACACGTGTACAACATAGGCAGTTTACTCACTACTCAAAGGGAAACATTTTATTTAGCAAAAACAAAAAGAAACAAACGAAACAAAACAAAAAGGAAATTCTTTCTCTCTCTCTTCATCTGTCTCACCATTCAAATAGATACTCCACTGATTTTTGTAAATATATAACAATAATGTGAATAGATGATGTGCGTTCATACAGCGCCAACTCCCTCCCTACCCTCTTCAACTAATGAATAAACAATGAAGACTGAATTGACCTTATCATGATAATCATAGTAGTCACTTTAAAAAAATAAAAACTATCAAGATTGATTGATTGATTGTAAAAGCAAGGGGGGGGAATTTTTTAAGGAAACATACGAATAGCATCATTAGTGATTGAATAGTGTTAATCATAATTGTCATGTATGTCAAATGGAGATGGGCAAGAATTGAAAGGCAACAATTAAATCAGATCAATTATTATTATTAGTAGTAGTAGTATATGTTTAATGTAAAATAAGAGCTAATAAGAAATGAACAAGAGGTAACTATGCATTAAAAAAAACATTTACAATGACCTCCTCTCTTAATGATTATCGTTGTTAACACCCCTACATTGCCCCCCATCCCACCCTATAGAATACAACTGGGATATATAAATGTGTGTTTTCTTCTTTTTTTTAAAAAAAAAATGGATAAATGGAAAATTGTTTTTTACTATATAAGAATTAAAAAAAAGGGAAAAAAAAACAAAATAGGAGAGAAAAAAAAATAGAAACTATAATTTAATATTATTATTAGTAATAATAATATACCCTGTTTAACCCATGGAAAAAAAGCATTATTGATTGGGATGGGCACGCGCGAGTATGTATGATTGACTGAAGTGTACTGCATATACACGTACACGTACACACACACTCACACATATACATACATACATAAAACTTAAAAACAACCAAAATAATGATGATGATGATAAGAAGGCACAAATGACCACAATCACTTCATTATTATTAAGAACAAATTGAATATAATAAAAATTGATAATAACCGGATTTTGAGAATATTAAAGAAGATAGTAACGTCGTATATGGATAATGTGGAAATGATCGAATAGAAAAAATTGTAATACAATAGATTGAGGCGCTTATTTTTACATTTGAATAATGTAATGATTTATGTAATGCTGTATGAAGAAGGGAAAAAGAAACAGAATAGTTAAAAGATACAACTAGATGGTTATATGTCACATCACTCTTCAACATCAATCAGAAAGAATAAACAAATTTCATAATTATTATACTTTTAGAAAAAAAAATCCAATGAAATAAATGATTATTGTATACTTTCTAACAAGTAACATCTTCTATTTTTCAACTATTAATCAATTCGTTCAACTTTGGCGACAATTTTACCTTCCCATAAAGGTAGAATAGTATCATCATTTGTGATCTCTTGATGGACTACACCGGAATCGAATTCATCAGATGCTTTCTTGAAAAAGTATCTGTTTTATTTTTTTAAAAAAAAAAGAAAAATCAAAAATAAACTTTGATGTGAATACGGGTAGACAATGAGAAGGATGAATAAACACTTTAACAGTTATTTATCATATGCCTTCAAATACCCGGATACCGCCTAGAGTGTGAAGAGTCAGCTCTCAGATAGTCACGAGCATACAACCACAGCCTCATGACTGACTACCCTATACCTGACACATATCCATAGCATGATAAAGTGATATTATTGTCATAGAAGATTTTACATTTTTTTTTATGTAAGCCAACAAAAATGATAGAAAACGAAACAAACCCTCTATCACATTGATTACAATGGTGTGAATAATAACTTCCCGCTATATTTTGGTTGGTTTCCAGGTTCAAGGTCAAAATCACGAACGAGTACAGAGTTTATTCTTATTAGAAAATGACCATTAAAGTGAGACAATAAAATTACTTGACATTACTTTGAATCGTTTATAATGAAGTGTTTACAAGTGATTAATCACTGAGTAGTATGACCAGTGTCATGTTTTACTATGTTCAAGGTATTATGATATTACCTTGGATCGGTGAACGGAAACGAAAATAAGCAAAGCAAAAACAGAATGAAACTAAACTAGTCCTCTGTGCTATGGCCCTACTAAATAGAAGAAGAAGACTAAATTCAGACGTAAAAATATACGGTTCAAAAAGCAGCCCGGAAGGTGGAACAACAAGCACTGAACTCATATGTAATATATACAATACAAAAATGTCTTTGAAAAGTGTCATAAAATAGCGTGTTAAAATCGAAAACGAATTAATGGAGTTTAAGTTCTTTCCCGGAGAGAAATACAAGCTGAAGGTAAATGATGGACGCTTTCGGTGCGAAAAGGAGAAATTCGAACTTCCACGATTACATTACAAGAATAGGAAGTTTACCAAGTGATTTCTGAGGGTCTAGCATCTCCAACATGTTTATCTACTCCTTTATTATTGAGTGGATTTAATTGATTAAGTTGTGGTATGATCGCATAAGTCCAAGTGATTCGGCATTACCTACACAACTACCTGTGTTGACATCTCGGGTGATTCGAGGTAGTTGACTGGGAACTCTACTAAACCTAAAATTTCCAGCTAGATGGGATTTGTCACCAAGGTGTACCTGTAATCTTGATGAAACTGATGCACCTTGTACAAAATAGTATCGAATACAGGGATGAAAGTTTTCTCTCACTTAACTGTAACCATGTAACATATAAAGAATCGAGTTAGAATAACATCAATATATATACACGATATCACTTACCGGAATAAGCCTTTTTTCTTGGGAATTAATTGTTTAAATTGACCAAGTGTAATCTCTGATGATGGCCATAAACTTCTATAGGGTACCGGATCATCACCCATATAATAGCCTATAACAAGTGAATTGGACGAGGTGCATACACCTACACCGGAACTTCCCGGTGTGGAATTCGACGTCCCAGAAACAGCTGATGTTGATGAAGAGTGAGTTGACTGAGATGTGGTGTTAGTTGTAACAGAACCTTGATGATGATGATCATTAGTACTACTAGTTGTAGTAGAAGCTGTAGTCGTTGTAGTGGTATTAGTAGTAGGTACCACTACTACTACTACTACCAATATTAACTGGACTATTTTCTGTTCGATCTGTATCATGTATAGATATTGCAGCATTAGTGGTATTAATCGAATCGACTAAATGCTCTGTATAATGTGTATGTAATTGAATATCTGATGTCTTTTGAGAATATTTCGATTGAGAAAATGATGCGAACCATGGTGGGACGATTACTGGTAATGATTTTGTAGTTGATGGATCGATTATACTGCAAGAACAAAACAAAAGAGATAAACATGAATTGCGACACTTTATTTGTAAACACTGAAAAAGAATTTTGATTTAAATAAGTCGGAGAAGCGATCGATAAATCTTGAATCTAAATTTCTTGATTTATTGTTAAATGGATGGCACTAAAAGTCGACAGGGTACTGTGGACATCAGTTTCGTGCTAGTCGGTATTCGTCAAGATGACCTCTCTGCAATTCTGAGGAAATCGACTCTCTTTTTGAGATCAAAAGCCACATCGTTTGAATATCTCAATGATAAAATCTTAAACTGTGAAACTAGGTAACCGGGACTCAAATATTAAGTGTATAGAATGCTTTTATTCTCAATAAACCCCATTAAATTATTTTGTATGTTGTCAATTATGTCACGACTGTTGATATGTAAAATACAATATTTATAACTGAAGAACATCTGGAACTCAAAACAACTGTCAACCAACATCAAGGTCAAAATTTTCAGTACAAATGTCGGAACAGTTCTACTGTATGGGGCGAAAACCTGAAGAACTACGAAAGCCATCATCTAAAAGATACAAGTGCTTATTAACAACTGTCTACGCAAAATACTTCGGATCTGTTGGTCAGATACTATCAGCAACAACCTATTGTGAGAGAGAACAAACCAGATCCCAACAGAGGGAGCACTGGAAGTGGATAGGACACACATTGAGGAAAGCACCCAACAGTGTCACGAGGCAATCCCACACTTGGAATCCTCAGGGTCAAGGGGAGGAGAGGAAGACCAAAGAACATATTATGCCGAGAAATAGAGACCGACATGAGAAAAATGAACTGGAAAGGATGTCCCAGAACAGAGTGGGGTTGGAGAATGCTGGTCGGTGGCCTATGCTCCATTAGGAGTAACAGGCATAAGTAATTATAAGTAAAGTAAAAAATAAAGCAACTCATGTAGATACCAAGTAAATACTTTTACTTATATTCAAATATGATTATTTATATTTCACAGTCTATGAGTTTGTCATTTGAAAAATATATGGGTTCGAATATATAAACTAACCAAAAGTTAAAAGTCTATTGTAATTTAATCACAAAAAAAAAAGAAAAGAAAAGTGAATCGATAGCTTAGTGATTAAAGTGTTTAATATTGAACCAATAAATGAAAGATTCGAATCAGGGTCTCATTTACTCTCATTCATGTCTCTAAGTAGTTAGATGAGCTGTTTTACAATTATACATGTAACTCGAATTTGAATATTATGTAATATGTACTTTGTTTTGTTTAGCTTTCTGTCAATAATTTCACATACATACATACACACACGCATACATACACACATACATACATACCTATGATAGATGTACACTATTGTTTTTTTTTAGAATAAAGAAATAGCATAGAGAGAAAAACGAAACAATCATAGTGATTCATTATTTCTCTTTGTATTTTTAACTAGGGCCCATTTTTCAGATTTTTCTTTTTAATGTTCAAAATGGACAATGAAAAACAATCAAGTAACTAACAACTAACCAACTATAGTTTTCTCATTATTATAACAACCACAATTCATTAAAAGAAAAATCATGATACTATTTAGATTATACACATATATACAAATAGATATCAAATATTCAATCAGAACCAACTATTGTCTCATTTCATTGACCATCTCTCACTTTCTCTTTCATTATCTCTAACCTGAATATAACCTCGATTTATTAATAGACAATGAAATAAATCATAAAGAGTAACAGAATATGTACACGTATGGTCAGTATGCTCTTTACAACCAATGAATTAGAGAGGGATAAAAAGAGAGATAATATACATATATGAATGCAATGCAATGCAATGAACTAACAACACATAATGAATAATACTACTTAGTTATTCCTCTTATAAATAGAACATAACTAATCAATCAAACAGGACAACGACAATGACAAGCAACAAGTATAGAGAGAGGGACAGAGAGAGACTAGAATAAATAACTTCACAAAAGTACTACTACTACTACTACTAATATCCCAATTATCATTAAAGAATCATTATCTTAACGAGAAACAAGAGAAACTCTATCAGTATTGTCACCATCAACGATACACAGGAAGAATAATGACAACTCATAAATTCCTTTATATTTGCATATGTATATATATATATATACACGAACACACACGAACGATTCTATGTGTGTATAGAACATATATCCATACATGAATACATCTTGATAAAATTAGGATAGTTTATTTCTAAAAGAAACTATTATAAAGTTAAAAAGAAAAAGTGAGTATTTTAATTGTTGAATTGATGAATCAATTGAAGTTCGATTATCATGGAAAATCTGAAAGCACTGGATGGTCATTTCGTCTTATTATTGTGAGATTCCTCAGCAGTGTATATCCACGATCCCGCTTCGTTGAGATTCGAACCCAGGACCTATTTATCAATCTCAGTGAATATATCAACGGAAGTTTCAATGTTCCATACAATATTATTATCAAATAATTTAGTTCTACAATTACTAATATCAATGCTAACAACGTATAACCACGAGTATATATCAACATCTAACAATAATAATAATAATATATTGACTGTTAATGGGTCGACTGTTCGATAGTACACAATAGGATTAAAATAAGAGAGAATAGACAAATCACGAACTGATCATAACATGAAATCAATCAATGATCAGTAATGTAGACCATGGATACAAAAATACATCTCTTCAAGTTGACACATCACTATATTGGTAATAAATACATGAAATAATAAATATGAATAACTAAAGTAGTGTAAACAGTAGTAATGTAAGTAGTGATAGTAAAGATGTTAACAAACAGAGAATAGGCTTCAAGAACAGTGAATTCACTTTATTTATTTATTTGAACACATAAATATTGGTACAAACGGGCACCGAATATATATATGCGCCACACAAGTCACTTGATTTATACATGGACTATGATACTGCCCGGGTGCCCAAACTGAAACAGCTGGTTTTCTTAGAGAGCCACATCCAGAGCCTCCAACCTAAAGGTTTAATTCACAAGGCAGTGGAGCAATCTAAGAAAATGCAACCCCATGGTAGCCGATTACCAACAATCGGTTCATACGCCATTTGTTCACTCAGGATCCTGGAGCCCATGTACACGATTGGTTTGAAATCAGGGTTCCGCAACTCCCCTAGGTGAACTATGCGTGTCCACCAACCAGATAAAAGCGCCGGACATTCGCTTTTTGTCCTATGAATTTCGTAAACAAAGGCAGTGAGTAGGACTTCCCTGACAGTGGTTTTTTATTGACGGTAATTACTTCAGTGTTGTTTTCTTTACGCTTTTTATATTTGTCAATAAACTTTTGTGGGTAAAAGTTGTCTCGTAGGCATTTTTCCACGTTTATCAATTCTTCTTCCAGTTTGTCAGTAGTACATACCCTTTCTGCCCCACAAAATAGTGTTTTAACTAATGCCTTCTTGTAACTGAGTGGACAAAAACTATTGAAATTCAGGTAAAGGCCATTTCAAGTACTTTTTCGATAAAGCGAACGTCGGACTGTTTGGTCTTTCCTACGTTTTATAGCAACATCAAGAAAGTGGAACATGTTATTCTGTTCGTGTTCCATAGTAAATTGTATGTTAGTTTGAGTGTTATTGAAGAGTTTTAGCAGGCGTATTGCATGCTGCTTATTGTTACAGACAATAAACGTGTCATCAACATATCTGGAATATTCCGTCGTTTCGCTAATCGCCTGTTTAAGCACCATGTTTTCAAGATACCCATAAAAATATCTGCCAGAATTGGATCTAGTGGACTTCCCATTCCTACGCCGTCGATTTGACGATATATGGTGTTATTAACTGGAATTGAACGTCTGTTGTTCATATTAATAGTAGTTTTTTGGATTCCCTGGCTGGTAAAGGTAGGAGATCATAATTCTGACAAATTATATCAATAGTTTCAAGAAGTGGTATATTGGTGAACAAGGATGTTTATGTCTTTAAAAGGAGATGGTTATTAATCTTTCCTTGCCTTGGTGACTAATATTCCTTCACTGTATCTAAATATATCTTTTTCTTTAAACCCTTTCTTGCATTTATCACACCATTGAGTTTTATTCCAACTATCTTATTTTATCAACTGAACTCTACTCATTTTATTCCTATCAATGTTTACTTGTTTCTAGCCCATTGAACTGTTGTCACAATGTTCTTTCATCACATAAGGTATATATTTACAATATTCAGTGTATTTACACCCTTGCTATACTATACGAATATGTCTTCAATATAACTTCCAACTAAACCCTCTCATGTACGTCATTGAAATCCATTATGTAATTAGGATTTCTAAATATCACAGGTTGTAAACAGCTGATGAGAACCGAACGAAATAAAAATGAATTCATGCTATTCTGCTAGAATCTTTCAGTTCTTGCTCTTTTCAAAATGATAAAGAGAATTATGTATATGAAAATTAAATTCTCTTTCAGGATAATAATAATAAGGAAAAAGAAGAAGAAGAAGAAGAAGAAGAAGAAGAAATATCTATATAAAGCTTGTTAAAACAATTAAAACTTAACTATATTACTAACATAAATAAACGGTTAAAGTATTAGCCATTTGGATGAAGAAATTGGAGCTATACGTGCAGAAGAAATATCTTCAACCAATCTTCCTCTACTGGCTAACATCAAAGTCAATTAATCAATAATAATCTTAGTATATACTGGAGTTCTAGTAAGAAGCAGTGAACAGTGGAGTTCAACCGGGTCAGTTGTGAGATAGTAACTCATTGATGACAATGGTGGATTAATTGAAGTTAGACATTAACACCGTTAGATGCCGGTTCAGTGGTTAAGTGCTCGCGTGCGAGACCAGTAGGTCTTGGGTTCGATCCCCGAGAGGATGTGTACTGCTGTGGAGTCCCACAACAGGACGAAATAGCCATCCAGTGCTTCCAGATTTTCCATGGTGGTCTAGCTTCAATTGACTCATGATCTCAACTATTGAAGTAATCTTAGCTATTGAATGACCGTATTAGACTATTGTACTTACGACCTTTCACAGTCAATTGTAATTGTCTCTGTTATCTTTAATCACAAATCTTTGCATTAATATTATTACTATTGGTGAAAAAATCATTATGAATCTCCCCAATACATGAGTTATTCACTTCGCATTCATCTCTCCTTGCTAATTTTTCACACAATATAGCCTTCTCACCCTATTTGACTCATATTTATTCGGATCATTTTCACTTTATATATATGCAGATTCAAGTTAACATTCTATATGAATCATATCAATATGAATAATTTTATTTGGCCCTTTATACAGCACGCTGGTAGATGTTCACTCATTTGTTGGTCAAGTTGCCTGGTAGTACGCCCGATATAGCTATCTCTACAGGAGCAGCGGAATTTGTAAATGCACATTGAGGAGGCCGACTCAGGTAGACATCGCCGGTCGACAAGAGAAAGGCAACGCAAGATTGGCTGCTTAGAATGTCATGGTGATTAGTTTCGTTAACCTATATTTCAGAGTATCACTGGTCACATCCCCGTTGAATTGTAGTTTCATGTATAAAAGTTTCTGACTTCTGCAGTTTCACATCTATCCGTACAAGAGAAATTTGGTTAGATGTCTCACTAGCAGAGCTAAAAAGATCTGCACAGTAGACACTTTAAGTCAAGAGCTTGAATTCATCAACAATTCACTGACCAAGATCGGCTACCCTAGTGCCTTCAATCTGATCATCATTTGGATTATTAATATGGATATATTGAATTGTAGAATCTGAAAAGAATGTATTCTTCGTCTATAGATTAGTCTTTTGAAGATGATGAAAAGATCATTAAATGATTCATAAAAATGTGTACACTACTTACTTACCTGGAAGATTTATTATATGAATTTATAGAATTATTATTAGGCATAAGTTGTGTATTTTCATCATTAATCCAATTATTTTCAACTATAGAATAAGAAGATGATTTATGATTATGTGTTTGTTGTGATTTTGTTAGATCATTATTAGTTGGATGTGACCAATTGATATCACCGATAACAACATTATTATCACTAATATATGATCTATTATAATTGAAAGAAGTAGATGGACAATATGATTCATGATCATAATTATTGATAATTGGAGATATAAATGAACGTTCATTTATATCTAATGAAATATTTCGTTGAGATGAGTTATCATCTAGTGTGGTAGTATCATGAGGCCTAGTTGAATGTATACCAAGATCTATACCAATTCCACTATGATCAATATCATTAGTAACGTTGTTATCACCATCATCATCGACATCACGAAGATGACCACCTCCTCTACTTCCATTGCCACTCCCTTCTCCTCCTCCTCCTCCACTACTTGGAGTACGATCAGCTGATGCAGCCCATATTCTTGAACAATGATCTTCAAGAATAGCCTAAAATTATATTCCAAAAAACAAATAATTATCATTATAGTAATAAAAAATGTTGACTTATAAATTCATAATACTTTTTTATAATAGAAAATGATCAATCATGGATCTTTGTTGAAGTTGACTGGCAGTAGCCCCTGGAGGAACTCCAGGAGTTGAAGTTGACAGAACAACAATTAAATCAATATGAGTACACAATAGAGAGAAAAATAAACAAAAAAACTTTCCCATTTGGAATGTAAATAATAGATAAAATGAATATATAATCTATCTCACAACATATTGACATTGATTATCATAATATAGAAGATTATAACATAAATACGTGTTTCGGTGATTATAGTTGTTACACTTCAAATCCTGACATAATAAAACAGAAGAATTTAGATTTGTTGAAGTAATTTGGTAAAGATATAAGTTGACTTTGAAAAACAACAATGACAATGTGTCCTGGTACGGCTGAGGGTGGAGAGAGTCAACTCTCCCTCTCTCTCTCTCTCGAAATACTGCCACATGCCCAAGCTTATACAGTCACTGTCAGGAAAGTCCTACTTACTACCTTTGTTTACGAAATGGTTTCCAGGATCCTTAGGGAACAAATGGTGTATGAACCAATTGTTGGTCATCGGCTACCATAGGACTTCATCTCCAAATATTGTTCCACTGCCTTATGGGTTAGATCTTTAGGTCGAAGACTCTGGTGTGGCTCTCTAAGAAAACCAGCTGTGTTGATTTGGGCACCCGGGCAGTATTATAGTCCATGTATAAATCAAGTGACTTGTGTGGCGTATATCTATTCGGTGCCCCTTTGTACCGATATTTATATGTTCAAATAAATAATTTCTCTTTAAAGACAGTAGAAAACTTTGTTTATTTGAAATTTCTACAGACAAAACCAACCTTTGATGAAAATATTCTTCAGATGTATCATACTAGAACTTTGAAGAGAAAACAAAAAGCGAGAAGTAAGACAAGAAATTTTACTCTCAAAATTAGTTTAGACACAGAAAACTAAGATATTTATAGAAGAATACGTAGCCTTGATATTGTAGGAGACTCCAAAAACATGCTAACTTCGGTGAAAAAAAAAGGGGATCAGTAATTACCTATGACACAGTTCATTATTTTTTCTAGAGCACTGTAGAAAACTCTTGAAATCTTTTTATAGGTTTGAAAGACTAAACTATTAAATTCTTGGAAGCTGTTGTCAAGGCAACCTGAAGTTGTTTGATTTCACTACTTCTTAGTCCTTTTCCATAAAGATAACTATTCATAATAACACCTGAATTGTTGCATGTTAGTTGGTATTTTATTGAGTTTCTCAGTAATGTACTCTTGTAATGTACTTTTAAAATGGCCATGTGAATCAATACAAATACAAATATTTTGTTTACTTGGTATTGTTGGTTTGAATCTTTCCCATTGATATTTAAGGCTGTAACTGATCAGTCTCTTATTGACATATATGCATCCTGTGCGGATTGCCTCGATATAGCCTCAATTTACAAGTATTATATGTAAAGATGGATAGTGGCTAGCAGTGGAATCCAGAACGCATGACACTTCGTACTATTTGGGATTCGTCAGTTGGATGTACTTGCATCTTAGAGTTGATCTTGACTCTGAGACTTGAACTCAGTATATATCGAGGCAATACACACAGGATGCACATATGCCAACATGAGACTGATCAATTGCAGTCCCAAAAAGCAATTGGAAGATTCAAATAAACAACATCAAGTGAATGTAAACTTCACTCCATTGCACAAGCAAGTGGCTAACATGACTCAGTAGCTAAGTGGATAACGCGATGACATTTGAAGCGAACAGTACTCAGTTAAGTTCTGGAGTGAACATCAACTCTGTGATGCAGGTACATCTAGCTGACGAATCCCAAATAGAACGAAACACGCGTCCTGGATTCCACTGCCAGCCACTATTCATTTTCGCATACAAATCTTTTGTTTTTTTTTTCTTTTTTTATCCAGGACAAATCTCTCTTTCACTTTCATGCATACATTAAATTATTGTGATTTATGTGATATATTTACTGAGCAGAATTGTGCTAACTACCTGTGAATTAACTATATTTGGCATATCTCTTTCTCCGTCACTCTCACTAATTAAATAAAACCACCCAGAAATACAACTTAATCACTTGATACCCTTTTAAGGTATGGAATGTTTTTTTTTTATTTTTCAAGTGAAAAATTTCTCGAATATTTTACCATTTCTGTTATATTATTATTCAATACCATACGATTGATAACAGTAAAGAAGTCTCAATACAAAATAAGTAATATATCAATAAGATTTCTATTTTATAAGCATATATAAGCAAATGACAGTCTTGTTTCGTGAAGACGCTGATAAAATGCAGTGTTTTGGTAACACTGAGTAACAATGCCAGAATATCTGAGATGCATTTCTCCTCTCTAAATGCAAGTTGTTGATTCAGAACTGGTCTGCGTTAACAACTGAGCTAAGGATAGGGAGTAAAGTAGTCGAACGCATCGATAACTTCACTTATCTTGGAAGTCTGATCAGCCCTAATAGGTTGGTGTCTGACGAAATCTCTGCATGGATTTAAAAAGCTCGTTTGGCTTTTGTCAACTTACGTCACCTATGGCGAACGCGAGATATCCGTCTATCAATTAAGGGATGAGTATACTGCACAGCAATTCGTTCTGTTCCACTTTACGGCTGAGAAATATGGCCATTAAGAGTAGAAGACACTCGTAAGCTATTAGTATTTGACCACAGATGCCTTAGAAATATTGCTTGCATTTGCTGGGATAACCGGGTAAGTAATAGTGTGGTTAGACACAGGGTATTAGGGAATGATGGTAAATCAGTTGATGAGGTTATGAATTCTCATCGACTGAGATGGTTGGGCCACGTGTTACGTATACCTGAACACCGATTACCACGACGTGTAATGCTAACCGGTGTTGGGTATGGTTGGAAGAAAGTTAGGGGCGTGGCATCAGTCCTTGAAGTCACTAAGGAAGTGAGAGTGAGCACGGAGTTAATTGGCTAACCGAATCAAGAAATACCTATATACACAAGTTTATATATGTATATCTGTCCCATAGGAAATTAAACCTTTCGGTGGGTTATGCCCTATCACTTGCAAAATAAAGCCAGTTCTTGGCCAATTATATGGATCTATCATTTCAGCGATTTGTAATTGGACGACTGCAACCCTCATGACAACGCTTTTCATTGCCAGGCAAATTTCATGTAAGAATTCTATAGTAATTACTGCTCATTTCTCGAATTAACAAAGGAGATGGAAGATATACGAACCAACGTAGTGGCAATTCTTGAGTTTCGCAAGAAAAAAACATGTGTGATATGTACAGATATGCAGTTGATAGGCAGAACTACTCAATAAAAACAATTGTAAAACGGGGAAACTTGTAGGAAAACATACACATATGATGAAGGTTTGAACTAAAAGTTTGAACAGACAGTCGTTTATAGTGACTATATAAGTCAATCTGTCATTTTAGCAAAATGTTCATCATTGAAAGGTGAACATCAAGATGATGAGTCTATATCTTCTACTCTCTAATATAATTGATTAGATTGTGAAATTATGTTGAAGTACTAGTGTTTGTCATTTTTACAATTCCTAACTGAATTATAAAATTGACATGCTTCATTTGAACTATTTAGAAAATGATCTGTTATCCGAAAATTTTTGCATAGATTTGGAGTATGCAAACAGTTATATCTTTAAGTGATAACACTAATAAAACATAGTCTTCAGTACAATTCTTTTGAACTACCAAAATTTTAAGGACGAAGAGACTAGTCATTTTTGACTGCTATAATGTTTCACCTAGTTTATTTTTACCAAATGAATTTGATGGAGTTTTGTTCTCTGAGGTGGATGGTTTAGTCGTGGAGTTTTCATCGTTCTTTTGAACGACATCATCAGCACAAACTTCAGATAGAAGTGAAGTGTTCGAATTTCTCTATATGTGGTTTACAAATTGTCCTGTACAGGACGACCAAACCATCCAGCTCAGAGAATAAAACTCCATCAAAATCATCCATCTGAGCTACAACTCTTCTCCACCATCATAACAAATGATATTCGAGCTGTCTCTCTCTCTCCTGTCATTGTGTAATTTAATTTGTTTAATATTCATTAAAGGGATTTTGCTAAGTGTTGTGAGGTATAATTACCGTTACTTATGTTATCAGGTGACTCGTAAATTAGGGCGATAATAATAAGTAGTTGGCATTCTTCTATTATCCTAATTAGAAACTTGGAAAAGTAAGAATTTCCATGGTTTGTCGATTGTGTGTAAAAATACAATAGTAGATAGTTAATGCCGTAAAAAGATATAACAATTTGCATGAATCTTTTACTTAACAGTAAGGAGCGTGAAAGATAATCGAGACTTAAAAAGCTACATTTATACACAGTATATTGTAATGTAGACAATAGATCTGATACAATGGGAGCAATCAGACATCAACTGATCGATAATAGCACACTATCGGACAAGGCTTGGCTTTTTTTATCTAAGGTGTAAGGATACGCGATATCAGCTGAACATGTAGCTCAAATTTCCAAAAGATATATGTACATATATACCAATGAGTATACGGATAACCCTGGATTCAGTTTATCCAATAAACGTCCTTCACACTTAAGTAGCTGGTTTGAGCATGTGTACAGCATATTAGCGTATCAATACCAGAAACGTAAACATAATAATAATGAAGTTGTAAATAATTCCTCATTTAATTATCATTACTATGCATTTTCATAAGTTTTCTTCCATAATTCTTCAAATCTTTATTACTGAATTACATAACCCGTGAGAAATAGAAGCATTAGACAGTTATTTCATTCAGCATGATACTTCAACGGTGAGTACTCACAACATCACAACAGATCAAATCGAAGACCTTCAAGTCTCGCAAAATATGCTTAACTTTTGGATTACTAACCTGATAATCCAATGGTATACATCTCTAATTTCAATCAATTCACAACATTACACGATCATTATCCATTCTGATTAACAGATAACTGTTTCATATCTGATAGGGTTAAAGATCATTGGTTACGATCAGTCACTAGAACTTAATTAATTACTTCTAGAAATCAGTCACTATTAAGTAAATGATTGTTACTTTATTTCTGATGGACAATCATTACTACTACTACAACAGTATAACAACATCAGATATGCTTCACTTTATCAGTGTCTGGATGTTGTTTTTTTTTTCATATATAACTAAAACCTAATCGATATTTCGACAAAATAGCTCAGTATTACTTCATTTAATCTTTAAGTTTGTAAATATTAACTCGTGTTAATGAGATAAATCACTTATGTAGTTAGTTGATTTACTTTCAAACAACATACAGAACATTTTGAAAGGAATAATTAGCATATTTACATTCATTAAATTACATAAGATGTCTTTTATCAAACAGATATGAATGTAAACTATACCAAATAAATATTTGTATATAATAACTGATTGAAATGCATTATAACAAACTAATGAAGCATAACAATCTCAGTGGTTATGGGACATGAAAGGATCGTATTCTGAAATAATAATCGTTGAATATTCTTCTTGACTGTTTACTCACATTCATCATTTCATTGGTACGATATCTGACAATTTAAGCGGGTTAATTGATAATTGAACTAGATTATATAACTAGTGTCTTGTAATGAAGGTTCAATTACACAGACCCCAATACAATTTAAGCATATCTGTTTTCTTTTCTCGTCATATCGTAAAAACCATGAGAATTATTATCAATTTCAATGGTTGAGATCATGAGTGAATTTGAAGCTAGACCACCATGGAAAGTCTGGAAGCACTGGACGACCGTTTCGTCCTATTGTGGGACTCCTCAACAGTGCGCATACACGACCTCGCCTCCCAAGATTCGAATCCAGGACCTATCGCAATCATTCTCTGATTATAATTATTATCAAGTTCAATAAAAAAAGATTTTCTCTCACCCTTAAAACTAATATGGTAGTTTTTCTATGCTTCTTCTATTAATCTACTTTAAACATCTAGAAGTAAATAGAATTCCATCAGAAAACATACATAATGTTTATAGTTTACCCTTAAAAACTTCTTTTTTTTTGATTTTGAAAGAAAACAAAAACTTACAAAATACATCTTCTTGAATTGAAATTCTCTAAAGAGATAAACCGAAATAAGAATGAATTTTTTTCACAACCTAATTGATAAATATAAACGAACATGTGTTATGATGTATACCTGAACCCAAGCACCGTCTAACACGATGGATGATGTTTGATGTAGAGGAACGCAATGGCCAAACACTAAGATGTCATATTAATTCATTGACAATTGGATTGAACTATCTTAATCAGTGTAGACTACTTACTTGATTGAGGTCCATATGACTATCATAACCAATGATTAGAGAATTTGAGCAATATGGCTCAGAATTATTCGTAATGATGCAAGTGTATTCATCACTCCTTGTATTTGTTTACAATTTTGAGTCTTGAAATTTCCTTATACTTAGTTATTTTTCTTCTTTAGCTACATTCAATCCTTTGAAATCATTATTTTTAATATTATTACTATCAATATTGTTATTACTTATAATAATTTGTCCTGAAATAACATGATCTCGGTGTAATAATGCGGTACATTATTTTGAACCAGTAAGCAGATGTGTCAGGTTCTACATTGTATATGACTAACTGGAACGAATAGTTAAAAGGAATCATTTGTTTCTTAGACTGGAAAAAGGTAGAGAGAAAGGGGAAAAAATTCAACTACTATAGTAGTTGATAATTAATCAATAGGACGAAACGACCATTCAGTTGCTTCCAGGTTTTCCATAGTGGTCTAGCTTCAATTGACTCATGATCTCAACAATTGAAATTGCTAAAAATCTCCACAAAATCCCCTTCTGACAATGAAAAATAGTATAGCTATGCATTATCAATCAGTTACGATCAACATAAACCCTTTTATACAAATGTGCATTAGCCCAAGTTATTGTGTATCACATTAGCAAGATGAGATAGAATTAAAAAGATGAATAGCAAAGAAATTCAAACAACAACAATAGGAGTAGTGATAGTAAGAAACACTAAACATTAACAATGTGGTTAGAGAATATGCAATGAAAATGGCACATATGAATGACTACTGGAATTTAAAATTGGGAGAAAGATAAATAGTGAATGTATCTTCACCACTATGATCAATTCTGAGTTATGTCACTCAACATCTCAAATCACCATGGATTGTTAACACCACATCGATCTCAACCAGAAAGAGTTCGAAAATTATGAGAAATCTGATAAAGCTTCTAATTGAACGCTAGATTCGGTTTCCTAAGCTTTTCTAATAAACCCCAGGCTAAATCTGCACAGCAACCTGAACACGAGAGAAAAGTAGCGAAATATGGAAGAAACGCTTTACTCCAAGATTCATTTATATATATATATATAGAAAATCTAGGGTATTTATAATATTTTAGATGGCCATGGGTTTCCGGAAAATCCTGAAACCCTACTAAACATAGTAGCAGTATGGATAAGCATCCAATGAGAAATACATGTAACTTTTCACTTTCTAGACGTTTCTGGCAAAACTTCTATTGAACGTTGATTAAATAAGATGTTTCTCAGCGTTTTTAGATCCTTCTTTTGGCTTATTTTTCGAGGAATTTTCTGAATTTTCTCAACAGAATCTTTACAACTTTAAACAATTATCATCAGTAAATATGTCAACTAATGACATAATCTGATTTGATCATTATTCTTAGGCTATCATTCATCAATACATTAACTTAAGATGATGGAGAAGATTTGTAGCTCAGGTGGATGATTTTGATGGAGTTTTGTTCTCTGAGCTAGATGGTTTTGGTCGACCAAAGAACAAAACTCCATCAAAATACATCAACTTCATTTAAAATCAACAATTAAAAAAAGTAGAAAAAAAAAACAAAATTTTCTACAATCTATTAACTAACTAACCTGAGCATTTTCACGTGTATTTTCATGTTGAACACGAGCAGCAGCTAATAACTTATCAGCCCATGGACGTTGAAGTACTGAAGGAGTAGTAGTAATAACAGCAACAGTTGATGTATTATCATTTATTAATCGATTAGTAATAGATGATGTAATTTGATTATGAATGAAATTTGATTGAGTACTTGTTAAGTCAATAGTAGTAGTTTCATTAATATTAGTAGTATTTGTAACAATAGGACAATTAGTTGTTGTGAATGTAATAACAGTTGAAGTATTACTAATAATAGATGGTTCATCTTTATTAGACTTGTTATTATTATAATCTGTAATCATTAAATTGGTAGTTTCATTCACTTGTTCTTGACTTTCTTGAATGTTTGGACTAGTCTGTTCATTTAAAAAGAGAAAATATATACAGAAACACTATATCATTGAAACAAATTCAAAATTGGTACTTTCATAATCAATAAACCAGTCAAATAATGTATCTATAATTGTCTATATGACATAATATAAATGAAGATTAGAGTCATCATTCAAAACTTCTGGAATAAATGAAGAAATTCAACAGGAAATAAGCAAACCATAGTACCGCCAACTCGGCAACACTCAACTGACTGCATAAGAACGAGAAGGTTTAAAGAAACTCAAAATTTAAAAAAGATATTGTCAAAGTTCTAGAGGACAAAAGACACCCTATAGTCATTATGGACAAAGAAGAATATATCAGGATAACTGAGAAACTATTTGAAGACAAAAGTGAAAATGAATCAATGAACACAAATCTAATCAAAAGATTAGACAAACAAACAAGTTTGTCAAAACAGGTAAAACATGAAAAGAAGATCAATGGCAAATGAAATCCAGTGAACCAGTGTTTCCTAGATTCTACGGTAGGCCGAAACTAAACAAACCAAACATCCTACTGTGTCCAATTGTACTACTCTACGGGAACGCCAACATGTAATCTGTCGGGAGAAGTTTCAAGAATATTGAAACATTTGGTGGATTCATCCAATAACTTCAATAACTCTCCCATACAATTCTTGGATAAGAGAAAGGAGATTCAAATCAATAACGAACAACTGATGATATTCTTCAAACGTAACGGTCTTATTCACTTCAGTCGAACTAAACTTAACAAACGAAACTTTATCCCTACTTTTCATGAACGACATAAATCTCAAAAGGTACACAAAGGCAAAGTTCACTAGAACTCATCAGTTTGTGCCTAATATGTTTTCAATCCAACAATCAAATCTACGAACAAACGAAAGGAACACCAATGCGGAAGCAGTAATGCAGAGACTGAAAGCCTCGATTTTACCAGTGATCAAGTCAAAAATGTAGATTCGTTATGCGGACGAAATATTCGTCATCATCAAAAAGGATGAGCTGGAAAAAACCTGCAATTCAATCAACAACATTTTCGGTTATATAAAATTCACAATGGAAGAGTCGAAAAGCAAGCTATCATCCTTGGATGTACTGATCACCAGAACCGACACACAAAAAAAACTGGAGACTGAAGTATATCGAAAGCCAACCCACAAACACTAAATTCTCAACTACAGTAGCGGTAATCTAATATCATACAAAATCGACTGAGTAAAACTTTATTCAAAAGGGTAAGAAGACACTACAGCACACCTGGAGCACCGAAAAATGAAGAAAAATATCCAATGACAATCTTTCAAAAGAACGGCTACCCATGCAACTTCAAAAAATATCAACCCAACTCATCAACAAACAGATTGTCCTACAATATATAAAAGACAATAAGATTATTGAAGCCGTTTGAAATAGATGTAGCACATAAAACAGTAAAATCACTTCAATCAATCTTATGAAAACGAAAGAACGAAATGACGGAATAAGTAGAACTGAAAATCATCTAAAAAATAAACTGTTACAATAGAGAAAGACGTATCGGACAAAGCAGAAGTCATCTTCATCTTTGCCTACATGAACATCAATTGGTGGTCATATGCCATGATATATATTTTCACTTATATCAATGCATGTGGACAACTTTGAACGAACATTAAACTGGGAAAATGTTAAGATTTTGGATGAATGGAATAAACTAAGAATACTAGAATAATTTTAGAAGCTTGGCACTCAAGTCAATCAGCAATCAATAAACATATCGAAGTCGATGCAATATAGGACCAAGGATCAGACCAAAGAAAAATACAATCAAAATAAAGAAGTAGACAATGACGAATTAAAGATCAATAAAAACACATCAAGATTGAGGTTGATAGGATAAGCTATGAATCATATGGGAAGAAATTTTAATACTTCACTTCTACTTGGAGTTTTTTTGCTGTTGCTGATGATGTTCAGAAGAACAATGAAGGCTCCACGACCATTAAGAAAAAAACGAAACTCCAACAAAATCGAATGAATCTTGACTTCTGAATCATTAGTAATTACGATTGATTCTTGACCTTACTTAATAGGTATTCAAAATCATTCGAATTACTATCAATATATACGTTTCCCTTTGAGGTTGAAGTATCGTTTATTCTCGGCATATTCTAATTTAGTCGACAGAATTCAATTCGTACTAAGGGAATAAGCCAGACACTATATCACTCCCTACACAAACATTATCAATCAGTAGTATAGTCATTTTCTTCTTTCTTTAAAATAAGATAATGTATGAATGTAAGAAGATTGATTTCATAATCAGAGATGAAGATTTCAATTTACATCTAAATCAACTATGAATAAACTGCATTTTGTCCGTATTTTTGTAATTGAACTTAATTTATAACAATAACACCTAATCCTTTATCCGGTTTAACCATAATAATATCAGTATTATTTGTAATAACATGAAACTGTCATTCACTAAACTCCGCCTGTAGCTCTTATAGGGTTACTGCCGGTCCCAAGCCCGGGTAAAGGAGGAGGGTTGGGCATGGGGTTAGCGTCCCCATCCCGTAGAAAACTAACTCGCTAAAAAAAAACGCTTACCAGAAAAAAATAAGTAAGTCATTCACTAGGTAAGAGATTTGATTTCAAGTTAAACCTTAAACATCACGAAGTTAAAGATACCAATCCGGTTGCTTAAACCGATATAGATGGATAAGAGTTCATATCTAAGCATTGAATGTGGCTCAATAAATAATCAACCACTACTCTACTATCAAATACTTCAGAATCAAAGCGAAGAAAAAAAGCAACTACGATAAAAAACAGGAAGTAATTTTTAATGAATTCCATAAATATTTTAAACGATAACACGTATTAACTTACTTCAATCATAAGATTATCAAGACGTTCTGTAACTAATTGACTATTTAATAAACGTTGTAGTTTCTCTGATAAAATTTGTGCAAAAGCTTTTGGATCATGTTCAGCCATGCTATATGATCGACTGGTCGATGATTTATTACTTGGTTTAACTGGAACATTCAATCCGATGGGATTTCCACAGCAGGGGCGGCGGCGGCAGCACTACCAACGGTACAATAATTATTATTATGTAGTTTTGTTTTATCACTGAAAGGACGAGAACTGATACCACGTCTAGCTAGACGACGTTGATGTTTTTGCTGTTGTGATTTATTATTATTAATAATTGGATCTGTTGTTGAGTGTTGAGCAATTTTATCTCCAATCCCTTGATTATTTCCATTATTACTAGTAGTAATAGGAGCTGCACTTATTGGACAACTTGTATTGGTTGAAAAAGTCTCCAAAGGATAATTGATACGACTATCACCACCAGCACACCAATCCCAATCGGACTTCGACAAAATGGATTAGATTGTTGTAAACGACTTTGAAAAGAAGTTGGAAATGATGATGATTTAGGAGAAGTACACTGCACCATTAATTCACTAACACCACTACTATTCCCTTGTGGACCGGTAGATAGATGACGTTGATGATGGTGATGATGATGATGGGAGAGTTGATTTTGACGTTTACTATTATTACTATTATTATTGTTATTATGAGAACGTGATGATTGGAATGGGCTTGGATAACGATGATTAAGAGCACGCAAACGATTACAAGCACCGTCGCTAGAAGATATATTTTTTTGAAAAATAAAATAAAATGACAGGAACATTGAGAAGCTTATCTTAGTATAGACAATCCAGATAATATACTGAATCTCAAAAAAGTAAGAAATAGAACATCAAATATACGGGAACCTTTCAGATAAGTATCCACGTAGACGATGTTGATTACATTGATATCATGAACCAATCAATATTAGACCATTATTGAAAACCTGAAAGTATTAGACACTCATTTCATCCTAGTATGGGACTCCTCAGAGTGCGAAACGGTTGTCTGTGCTTCCAGGTTTTCAATGGTGGTCTAACAAGCTGGATAGCTAAAAGAGATTGAAATAATGTGACGACGAGGAAGATTAAGCATTGAAAGTACAGTTAAAAAAGACGAAGTGGAAAGGTATATGTGGAATAATGCTGGAACTCAAGTTCTACGAGAATATAACGACTAAATTCATTTGCATCAGTGTGAGCTATTCCGATTCATATTACCCAAAGTCTCCAACCAATGATCACATTTACCCTGCTGACTTGAACCCACGGTATATATATATTCGTATCCAAGTCCAGTTATTATCTACCATCATTATTATGATTAACACTATGACCGTCACCACAATCATGTTGTTAATTCGATCAGTAGAAGTATTTTGGTTAATCTGGTTTGCTTGTTGCAATCTCTTTCTCTCGCTCTAGTGAATATGCACACACCATAAAGTAACATTCCATTACAAACGATCAATTTCTCGAACATGTGATTGCTATTTCTATACTATTTACATTCATAAAAGCGAGATTACCTTTGATCTTACATCTTGATCCGACAATATTGTATGTGTAAGTTGATAACAGAAAGAATAGAAGTATGTATACATGTGGTATGTTGTGAAATGAAATGTAGTGTGTGTGCTCGTTTTATCACCTCTACTGTGTATATGTAGTTATCAGTCAATCAGCTATATGCAACGTAGTAGTTATGTAAGCATATAATGAAAATTCTATACACTCAATAAAGTGAGTCACAGGAATACCTTGAAAAAAACAAGGCGAAACCTTATTATATAGATCTGTTAGTATCTTCATTGCTTTTTCTCAAAAATTACTAAGATAGTGAATTAATCCAAGATGGTCCACCTCACTAATATAAATGAGGTTATATTCATTGATTCATTTAGTAAGCCAGATATAGACAATGGAACATAAGTGCATCAGTTCATGTTGCTACTCTATATGAGCACAGTAAGAAGAAATTATCAATACAAATCCCAGAGCAGTAGAAGAAGTAACAGTAACAGTGGCATTATAAAATATTACGCATAGACAATATGATTGGACTAATGGAATAGAAAAATCTAATAGAGATCTAAAATTTAAGGTAAGACAAAAAAGTAAACGTATCTGTTCGATTGTGACCGATTTTGAATCATGTCACTCAACGTCTACAAATACTGGTTACCATAATCGCATGAACCACAACAAAATGGTTTACGCACACCAGTACAAATAGGCCCAACTCTCAATGACTTCACAGTTTAATGCCATATCTTTGTTCAGTCGCTCCTAGCTTTATTCCGTTTCAGTCATATACCAGTAAGTATCGCACATCAAAGTAGGCAACTGTTTCACACACGTAATACGTGTCTCAATCACCTCAGTCTTTTAGAACGATATAAGGCATACAATAGATTGGTTTGAAACGATTTCTTATTGACAAACAGAAATCTATCAGAAGGGGGTTTTGCGGAGATTTTAGTCACTTAATAGTTGAATTAATGATTTAATTAAAGCTAGACCACCATGGAAAACCTGGAAGCACTGGACAGCCGTTCTGTTTTAGTGTGGGACTCCCCAACAGTGTGCATCTACGATCCCGACCCGAGAGATTCGAACCCAGGACCTATCGGTCTCGCGCGAGAACGCTTAACCTGTAGACCACTGAGCCGGTATCCAACGGTGTTAGATATTAACACTGTCCAGTGCTTCCAGATTTTCCATGGTGGTCTAGCTTTAATTGACTCTATGATCATTTAAGCGCAAAACTCTTCACTATTATTTAATTGATTTGAACTTCGCCACATTAAATTAAGCTTGATCAATAGCATAGTATATATACAGATTATAGTTTAAAACACGAGTAAACAACTGCTTATTTATCATTATTTTTATTTTAACACATAGATATTGGTACAAGGAGGCATCAAGTACATATGCGCCACACAAATCTCATTTGATATGTATGAGGGCTGTGATACTGCCCGGGTGCCCAAACCGAAGCAGTTAAATAACTGCTAAGTCAATTACATTAATAACTGTATTATTTCACAGATTTGGTGTACATTAAATTACGAAAAGGTATGATAAACGACAGTTTCTATTAAGCTGCAATCAAGCCTTTTCATGGGACTTTAATATTAGTAAGATAGTCTTTCCATTAAGTATGAATAACGTGCCTCGCAAATAGATTTATTTACTAAACTTTGAACTATATTGTTTAAGTTTAGTGTGGAGTAATTCAGCTACTTCAAAATGATGTAAACTAAACAGAGTTTCAAGATATATTTTATCTGTAAAAATCAACTCCCCTTAATTCAGACCTATACTGAGACTATTCCCTTTTACATGAAAACAAAACTTATCATAATTATAATAATAACAAAATATATTATGTCAAATTTTCAAACTTACTGGCTACTATCCGTATGTGAATGAGTATCATCAGTTCGTGCATCACTTGAAAGACTATGATGTTCTGAGTCACGTGCTGAAACTGGTGCATAGGAGATATGATATGGATTAGGCGGTTGACTGGGCAAATTTCCTAAACGTGGATCCATAGAAGGTGGACTGGAAACAAAAAAGAATTTAAATTTGAAGTACCGTATCATGAGAATAACCCTTTTTATTTTGATTTATCTTTATTATCAAACTATGAAATGATAAATTTTCTCCGATCTAAGTACACTATTGCGAAACGTTACAAATTGAAGCAATGTACGTACTATAATTCAATTACTAAGCACAGATTCGTGTACTGGGCTCACATTTTATGTGTATAAAGTTAGTATACCATCTGACTGTTCAAATCCAAGTAGACGAAGAGGGATCCAAACTTTAAACTTGGTGCTTGAAAGTTAAATACTCTCACCAATAAGCCACCGCTCCACACAAGATCAAATTGGTGAATTCTGAATTATAGGTCACTTAGAGATAAGTACCCGGTCCAATATTATATCAGTTAACAAATTGATCAGGTAGCACAATTCCAGACAAAGTGTGAGATTAAGTCATTGATTAGTTATGGGATGTGGTGACAGTGGTTAATACAATTTGTTTCCAACTAATAAGTCACATGTTTGAAGAAATGGCTTATATTAAGTCACGAAACGTCAGAAATACAATTTTTCTACTCAGTGGGATATAAAGAAAAATATATTTATTAAAAACCTACTTCAGTTGGACAACCGGATAACATTATCAGCCTTCATGTAAACAGTATAGCTCAATGTATAGAACATAAAACGTCTACTCGGTAAGTGAATTACATTAATTATGAAATACATTATTGGAAGCTTCACAATTACAGTAATTCCACACTGCATAACCGCGTCGGTTAAAATAGTAAAAGCCCAATCATTACACTATGGATTAGGATAGAATTCAGGGACAACATAACGATTGGTTACAGATTTTATGCACAAACATTAATATTTTGACATGTTATGCAATTTATTATCACTACATATTTAAACACATAAACACTGATACAAGGAGGCATCAAATATATATATGCCACACTTCGTCACTCGATTTGGGTGGGGGCTGGGATACTGCCCAAATTCCCAGATCAAAGTAACTGCTTTTCTTAGGGGGCCACAACCCAAGCCTTTGACCGAAAGGTCTAATCCACAAAGCAGTAGAACAACGTTCCTTCAGGATACTGGAGCCCATATTCACCATTGGTTTGGAATCAGAGTTTTCCAACTCTCCTAGGTAGACCCTCTATGTCCACCAACCCGATTAAAGCGCCCAACATTCGCTTTTCGCCCTCTCAATTTCGTAGGCAACACCCTCGCCTCCAGAAGGCAGTGAGTCGGGTCATGTGAGAACATCTCGAGAGGAAGAGCGAACTCTTCCCACTCTCGGTCGTAGCAGGGTATTTAGAGGCATACAATTTATTGACTAAATAATAAGCAGCTACAATGTGAAAGACCAAGAAGTGTGTTAAAGGTTGAAACATTTAACTCCTTATGACCGGGTAGTGGGTCCGAATTCAACCAATTTACTTCAATCTGCTTAGCTAAATAGTATAACTGCACTGTGCACATAAACTTGTACCTAACCACTTAATTTCATCGAGAAATCGATGTCAATGAACCTGCTGTCCGAAAAACTCAAACGAGTGAATCAAATTGTTCTGACTATGTTCTTAAAATTGTTTACAACATATATCTATTATATCACAAATGTTCTCTAAACACGTGTAAATTCCGGACTTATGACCCTAGGACTGACAGTGAGGTGATTAAACCTAGAAAATCACCGCTCTACCGTATGGGGGGTCTGAGTGAAAAAGAAAATTACACGATGAGTTTTTGCACACTAGTAGACTAAAACGGTTAGAAAATCTGTATAAAAAAGTACTAGAAGTCTTGTTGTATAGAGTACAAACAACAAAAAGCTAAAAAGATATATAGTTACGGGGATGTATAGACTTCAATTTTTCAAAAGTGTTCGTATAAATTTAAGGTGACGTAATCGTCTAAATTGAGCTACTAATTATTTATAAATTATAGTAAGCGATAAACGCTACAAATATGCAAGCGAATAAATTACTTACCACATCGCATCTGCCCAGTGAGTGTAAGCGTAGTTGGGGCGATTGTGAAAACGCCATGGAGTTGAACTGCAAGCACGTGATACATGTGCATGCCCAACAGGTTCACCTTCTTGATTAGGTCTCGTAACATAAGGATTTGAGATGGATTAAAATAAGAACGTTGTAGCGATAATTCTGTACGATAAAATCGAGTCATTTGCAAATTTTCCATAGTTAGAGGTGCTGCCGAACTAGTAGGCACAACTGGCGATTGTTGATAACACGATGGTGGTCTTAGGATAGGTTGAGAATAATCCAGTGGTAAACATGGATTATATAACTGACATTTCTTACAGTGCTGACAATGACCATGATCAGGTGTAACAGCAGCTGTATCAGTTAATGAAAGTATTTGACAACAAGCAGGTCTGCAAGCCTGTCTTGAAGGGTGCAATAGTGATAGTTCTTCGGACTGCAACTCACGATCTTCATCTAAAGTTGGAAGAACTTTCCCTCCTAATGCCATGTTTGACGGGCATTCTGGGAGGTTAGTAGCTGTACTTAACTGTTTGTCACCAGTATATGGGAATAACGAGGTAGAGACCGTTTGTTCCCACGTAGGAAACTTACGAATAGAACCTTCCAGAGCTGTTTGTAGGAAATCGACATAAATATCAGATTTAAGGAAAGCAGGATATGCTGTTGTTCGTAGAAAGTGTTCAACTTCTGCTTGAGCCGAATCGAATACAGTTTGGTCTAAAGTATGCTTGCGTGAAATTCTTTCTGTGATAGCATGCCGAGTCTCTGACCTAAGACGAATAGGTTCACTTCGGTTTTGTAGCACAGGAGTGGACTGTTGCTTCCCCAAATAAAGGAGAGGTTGAGAATTAAGACTATTACTAGACCCTCTAATGTACGTACGATAAATTGCTTTAATCAACTGAGTTATTTTTCGGTGATCAGAAGGATCAACTTTACTCCGGAAACCTTGACATGCAAACCAAAAATCAAGAAGATTTGCACAACCTTCGTATTGAAGATAAGATTTAAAAAGGGCTACACCTTCACTATCCTGAAGTAAATAATCCAAACCTAACGACCATTTCTTCCAATTTGAAATCATCCGTTCATTTGTATTTGATGGAGCTACGGAAATTATGGGTCATGTCCAACTTCATATGATGCAGTACTGCTTGACCAGTTGCTACCTCCAAATGCACTGCATAATGTTCCATAAACACCCCCACCCCCACTCCCACTAGTTGCACCACCACTACCACCGCTTCGATCACTACGTCCATCAGCTTCATGACATGAACGTGAAGCATCTGGTGGATAACTCATCCTATGATGTCATAGAAAAAGTTGAGACCGAAAATAGTACTAACTGCTGTCGAAAATCGCTTGAAATAACTGAATACATTATAACCGAAAAGTATTGTACCAGTGGGGATTTCTGAAATAAAATGGATGGTTAAAGATTATAGGATATGAATTAAAAGTCATAATTGTTTAAGACCTGATCTAAAATATATGCAATAAAAAATATCGATTTAAATCCTAAATATATACAATGTTAAACCTCATATTCTGAGGACGTGAGAATTAACATTTTACTCTTCGAAAAACGCTAAGTTATAGATCTTGGAGATTAGATGTGGATCTCATTTATTGATAGTTAACCCGGAACCTTGAATAAATGTGCTATCCCCCAAATTCTCAAATCACATCAACATGATATAAAGCTATACATCTTATTTATTTAATACATGGGATGAACTTAATTGTATAAATAACGAAATAGCGGAAGTATCAATGATTGTAGGACTAAACATTAAGAACATAGTTCGATTGTGTGGCGCATATATATTGGCGCTCTCTTGTACCAATATTTATGTGTTCAAATAAGTAAATAAATAAATAAATCAGTCAGTCAGTCAGCTACAACGTAGGACCAGGCACATGTATGCATCGGCCCAGGTTGCCATACCTCATTAGCACAACAAGATGAACACCGGATTCATAGGAGTGGTTAGGTCAAAGGTGGTAATATATAGGAGAAAGATTGCAATAAGGATATAGTATAGGAAGAAAGAATTAGTTCGTAGAAAGAAAGATGTGAAGTGATCTTAATCTCTTAGTTTAAGAGAAGACAGAGAGTGTATACACCGACGCCATTGTGATCGATTCTGAGCCATGTCACCAAGAGTCTCCAACCATTGGTTACGAAAGTCACGCGGACCCCAACCAAGTAGTCTGCATCTACCAACATGGCTCAGACTAGAAGTTAGTGACTTCAAGCACTGATGCCACGTTTTGGTTTGGCCGCCCCTAACTTTCTTCCAACCATCCCCTACACCGGTTAAATAAATCGAAAGGTAGAAATCAAAAGATCCGGGTCAGTTTGCCAGATTCCGAGTCACGTTACCCGAAATCTTTAACTAATGGTGGTAAGTGTCGAGAAAACTCTAAACAAGTGGCTTGCAATTATCAATACAACTCAGTTTGGCATTAAATGGATTTATTAACTGACATTATCTCATAGTTTGACCGGTTTTTTCATTAAATCTGCCCCTACGCCAAGTAGATGATAATAGTTAAACAAATGGAACACACCTCAGCCATCTATCGTATTGTCATATAACTACATACAGATTGATCAAGTGGTCCACTACTTGCTATGCATGAGGGATGATGTCCCTGTTGTTTCAAAATTTCGGCTTCACTTTTCCTATTTCTATCTAGGGATGGGATACGTTTTGATCTGAGGAACGATTTCAATGAAATAGATACATTTACTTGCTCAAAATACAGTTGGTCAGTTACAATCGATTAGAAACTAGGATGAATGTGAATTAGAAAAAGTGAACTAACCATATCAACACAGCGAGATAAATTTACCAGGATGAGTAGCAAAAGAATCGAAATTAATAGTAACAATGATGGTGTAAAAGATTAAATATAGAGGATGCGGTTCAGAAAAGAGTGAATTTAAGGAATAAAAATTATGGGACAATGTTGAAACTTATGACCTAGTGGTATACAAACAATAGATTCATCTAAACTACTGTAAATGATTTTGGGACATCTCCAACATTTTCAACCATGGATTACGATTACTGTGCTAACCTAAACCACGAATTTCGCACGGTTCATATCAACAGTCACTGACTAGGTTAATGCTGGTTTGATCACCCCTAACCTCCTTTAAACCTGTGCCAAAACTTGCTACCACTGTATGTTGCAGTAGAAAGTGATTGAGCATACCTAGGTGCTATGGAAAAGTTTTGATGATTTGATTATCCAAACAGTTTGATATTGTTAAAAATGTTGGTTAGTCGATAATGAACAGTGATAAGATGTGGCTGATTGATATTTGCGTACAAAACTAAGTATCGGTATTGACGTAAGCCCCATGAATGACCTCAAAGGCCTTGGTACAGCCAAGGGTGAAGTGAATCCTTTCACCCTCTCGTACAGTCGCGCGTGTATAGCCACTGTCAGGGATGTCCTATTCACTGGCTTCTCGCGGCCAGGGTACTGTTCATGAAATTGAGAAGACAAAAAGCTAACTTTCGGCGCCTAAACTGAGTTGGCGAGTGCTGAGTATCCGGCCAGGGAAGTTGGAAAACCATGATTCCAAACCAACGGTGCACATGGGTTCCAGGATTGTGAGGGAATAAATGGCATATGAACCCATTACATGCTACCATGGGACCATATTTCTTAACATTGCTTCACTGCCTAGTGGATTAGACGTGGTAGTATCCTAGCCCACAAACAAATTCAATGATTTGTTTGGACCATAAATATTTTGGTGCTCCTTTGTAACAATGTTTATGAGTTTAAATAAATAAATGAACGGTGTCGTGCCCCTTTGTATTAATATTTGTGTTCAAATAAATAAACAAATAATAAGTAAAATGTATGAAGGAATACTGAAATTCAAGATCTAGAGGAAGAGAAACAGTGAGTGCATCTGAGCCAGTGACATTCCGAGAAACGCAAGCAGTGTTTTAAAAACCTCTGTGACCATAAATCTTCAGTCTATGAATTTTTTCTGTTTATATAGACCACGTTTCACAGCCATAAAGTAATACAGATAGTATTGCTGTGTATACATGCCCTTAGTTGGCAGATGGACATCTTGGCTATGAGATAAGTGACGTAAGTTGATAAAACCTAACCAAGCTTTATGAATCTGTCCCCAGATTCCGTCAGACACTAGCCCCCAAAGGGCAGTGAGACCTTCAAGAGAGGTGGTCGACATGCTTAACTTCTTTTCTGTCATTAATTCAGGCGTAGACCCAGGTCAGTCATGAAGCAACGCCATGTAACTAGAGATGGAATAGCATTTCATATAAGTCACTTAATACGATCACGATTGCATTTTGTCTGTGTCGTGGCCTGAGTATTTCTAGCCAATAAGTGGACTGTCTGAAGTGAGACCAACTTCTGAAAAGTGAAGTGTAGAAAGTGCTGTTGCTAGAGAAGCATATATCGCGAAGCCAATTAAACGATAGATAACTAAATAACACCACTGGAGGTTAACAATTCTGGTGGCAATTCGCTATAAGCTGACCCGACCAATAGTTTCAGTTTGGGAAGGACAGGAGGCTCGATGGCCTATGTTAGTCCTGGCAATGGTGGTCTCTCAGTTGATCCAACTTTCTTTTGAAAGAGAGCCTTTAAAAGGTTTGTACACTCTTGTCCATCATATCAGCAGCACATAACTTAACCATAAATCGAGTAACTATTTTCACCAAAAAGCAAATGCTTAAATTTAGGATTACTCCCTGTTTTCATAATACTCGAAAAATGGTTTGAAGAGATGCGATCGGATACTAACAACCTACACTTTCGCTGGCAATATTTTGCAACCACTGAGCAGTATAGAGCAGGATGATGTACAGTGTACTTGCCTTTTGAGAGACAGATGGATAACTCGTCTGCACCACAGGTGGCGCAAGTCGGAGGAAACCAATTGAGCTGTGTACAGTGCAATATACAACACAACCCTAACCAGGTGTTTTTAGTTTGTTGACATCCCATCAAGAAAAATTTGAAAGAACAACGGTACTATACGACTGCATAGTTTACTTCCTAATCTGATAGGTCACTGGCAATATTATTAAATCCAGCAAATTAGTGTTGGAGAGGAAGGATCACTATGTGTTTTGTACGTAAAATCCTATGTCCAAGTTCCAAATAAGTTCTAAGTACGTGTGACCTAGTCCCTTACGAGTGGATTGCAATAACTCATAGATTCAAGATTCAAAAATTTATAGTGAATCAACACTGACAACAAGAATTGGCAACTATGATTCACAACTAACCCTTATCAAATATTGAAATAAACGCCATCATTAACTTACTCAGACACTGCCTGTGATTTATTGTGAATAATTGAACTATATATTTATCTTTTTTGATCTACATATCTTTTAAAACTTAGCATTCATAAGAGTTGTAAGATCCCAGTTACTGGGAGCCGTTATATAAAGGGTTCCAAGCATTCACTAAATACTTAATAGGATGAGCCCCATAATATGAAATATGGATTCAAAATATTTACAAGATTAGGTCAATAAAAATGATATTCTGAACAACGTATTACTTGTCAAGTTAATTTAGTTACATGATAACAACCAGAATCCTAACCACTAAAAACGTACACTAAAACATAATTACAGACTCTTAAAAAATATAAGCGACTCGAATACTACCAAGAAAGTGCTATCGAAATTCCCACACATAAAGACATCATAATAATGCGCGACGAAAATAGGCCAGCCCTGATTGGTCCAAAAATGGAACGCAACTACTTATTTCGCAATGTTTAACATCACTGTGGAAAAAACGTAAAACAGACTGTGGCATACTTAATTTGTGTTAAAGTTATACTAAGGTGCATTATTATTTTATTAATTTTTTCATTTACCTTTAGTTTCGCATAAATGTAAATGGGCGCTATTTAAAAGTTTCGGTGATATCTTCCCCTAATGAGTAAATCTTTTAACCTTGATCATTCTCAAAGTGTGCAAACTTTCGATTTTATTTAGGTCGGACTAAATTACCAGTTAAAGTGTCGTCTAGGTATTGTTTTTTTTCAGTGTCAGTGTTATGTCCATCAAGTAGCTACAGCAAGAGTTACTTGTATGCAGAGAAAATAACTTTGTACATTGTTCCGCCTGGCGACCAGTACTTAGTGGAGTATCGCAAGGTTCTGTCCTAGGTCCTTTATTTTTTATACTTTAAGTATAGTTAAGTCCCCAATGCTACTATACGCTGACGATGTAAAAATCTGGCGAGAAATAACAGTAAATGCAGATGGATGAGCACTT